ACCTTACTCAAGGTGTCCATATCTGTATCGGTTAAAAAAAAGTAGTATCATGCCATCTCTAAACATGGCAGAAAATGTAAAGAATAGTTTTCTGTCCTCACAGAACAATACACAGACAAAAACTTTCTGCACTTTGAGCAATGATTATTTTAAACTGTGAAGTTTTTTATTTTATTGCTGGCAATAACTGTGAATTCTAATGGTTAAAGCTTGCCACATTTTAGTGGTACTCAACTTTGAATTGACCTCTAGCACAGATGAAGGTCTATGGCTTCTAATGTTCTCATGCCCTCATGTTGCCCAGAAGCCTTGTCCCACTGGGAAGACTGTTCACTGCTGGATAATCTGGGGCACGTCAGGAGTAGAGGTCATTGTGAAGTTGATGGTTAAAGGGAGTGTGGATGCGGTTCTCTGAGAGAGTGTAAATAGTGTCAGTTAATGATTGTCCTACCTCTTTAAACACGCCCATTGCCTGTGTTTGTTACATACACTCACAGATCACATAATTGCAGTGAGATGTTTGCTCAGTGTGCACTAAGATGTACCACTGACGAGCCCTTCTGCCCCACAAGTACATCTGCGTAATCATAATAAGTCAGTTACTTGAGCTCCTTATGTCAAAGCACTGAGGTAAATTTCGATTATTCACCTAGATCTGATCTTTCTGCCTGGACACTTCAGACCCATTTGTAAGTGACCAATATCTGTTATCAGTGAACAGAACTATGCTCTGAAATGACCCGCAAGGGACTCCTAAAGCTACATTCATCAAGCTCTGTAGAACAATTAAATTGTAAGTCACACTGGATAAAAGTGTTTTTTCGGTGCATAAACATAAATCCAATCCAATCTAGCAGGATATATGAAAGTAGCACAAATCTAACTTGGGAAAAAATTGCATTCACACTACTTAAAAAAATGCAATCTGTTTATCACTTCTTTACCTCTGCTTGTGTGTGAAATTTGGGATTGAATTGGGCCACATTCACATTACAGTCATTGTAAGGGCCAGCGCAGACATGACACCTCCTCACTGTGCATGGCACCCGTTCCCATGGTTTCCACTTTTAGCTTGTAGCTGGTTGAAGTGGTTCTGAAGCACATACATACACACACACACCGGCCAGCGAAGCTGCTGTATTTATAAAACAGTGGGAAAAGCACTGAAGCCTCCCGCATTGAGGCAGTCCGGAGGGCCATGCAGGCGCGCTGTGTGTGTGCGTGTGTGTTTTGACTATGGCCTTCTGAGTTTCTGTGGGGCCTTTGGCCCACGCTCACACACACCCGGCCAAGCGGAAAATCAGCTCTTTGAAACAGCGATATGCACATTGTCCTCAGCCGCTGTTATCAACCTGTTTACTGCCGGCCTTCTTTCTGCATGTACTGATGCCGGTGCCTGAGGAGCTATCGCTGCACTGCAAAAGACTCACATAATCAACTTTACCAGGCCAGTGCCACTTTAAAGCCAAAGCATTTTGTGAATGTGAGGTGACACAGGACACAGGGCTGATAATGCGTGTCACCTAAGTTCCATCTAGGGACTGGCAGATACACACTCGCTGGAAGGTGTGTTTAGTCTGCATGGGGTTGTTGTTTGTCTCTACGAGGCTGTATTGTTTTCCACATCATTGTTTTTTACATTCTGGTCATTTTCAACACTCTTAAAATTACAGGTTTCTAAATGGTCCTTGGTTTGGATGTGTGTTTGTAGGAAAAACCTTTACATTATGTCTAGGTTCTTTAAAATGTATAATGATTTTTCACACACACATCTCATTTGCAAAAATGAAACAATGCATTGAAAGATCATTTCGACTTTACACAAGCAGACTAAAAAAATCTCTGGTTAAACATAAGCATAGTGTAGACTTTCAGTACTAGTGTATTCACGTGTGAAAGATAGAAAGTTTTTTAGTCAGCTTTGCATGTCCTGTGTGTAAATATGTAACTGTAAAAGATCTGAGGGTGTGTGCGGTTGGTGATTGGCGTTGGCTCTTTTGCTGGATCAGGAATGGAAACACAGTTCCTGAAGCTGCGCTTTTACACACAATAAGCTACGGCTTTTATATAGACTGCAGCTTTATTGCTGCTTTTGCCCTCAGATCACACATGTCCTTTTGCTGTGCTGGCCCATGTGGTTTTTTCATGAGTCTCTCTATTGTTTTTATTTATTTATGTCTCATTGTCTCTCGTTTTGGTTTGGTGGCTACATGGGAACTCATTTGTGTTTTGAGGTTTCCATGACATGGGATCACATATAAGTTCACTCATTATATGGATGTAAAATTGTATTTGCGGTACAACTACCAAACTTTATCTAGCACTGCGTTAAGACACTAGTTTAGCCAGAAATCAAACAAACACAAATTTTCCCCCTGGAGGTATGAGACAAAATGGTTAAAAAGAAGACAAACATTTTGACAGAAAAAATAGATAATTTTAATAGTAGTGAAAATGAGAAATAGTGATTAAAAACGCTGTTTGTTTACATCAGTCAGCTGTGCTGGACAAAGCAGACGCATTCAGGCAGTTTGAGCAGCAGTTGACCATGTGGATCTATTTCTCGGATTCTGCAGGGACATTATAATGACTATTTATGTTGAATATTTAGAGGGGATAGAACATCCAAGAAGTTTGATACCACTTGAAAACATGACATTCCATTTAGAGAACACAGCAAAACAACAGAAGCAAAAGCTCACTGATGCCATCTGTAGCCACAATTTTCGAAAAGATAAAAAATCACAAACGACAGAGTGAAAGTACAAAGTAAAACTAAAAAATAATAGAATTCATTGCCTCAGTTGACCAACCGTTGTTGATGCTGTAATGATTTTAATAAGTTTATTTTATGTAAACTGTTTTTATTTATTGTCAGCTCTTGGTTTTGGTTTTTGGCCAAGTGTCATTTCAGTACATCACTACTACTAGCATTGTGCAAACTAGTCCGTAGTCTTCTAGGAAAACACAGGCTTCTTCATTTGCATGTTAATAAGTGATAGTGATCGTCGGGACTAGATGGCCCTGTCCTCACCTTATCACTGAGCCCATCAGCTGTTGAGAGGGATCTAAGAGTGTGTGAGTGAGCATGTTTCTTTTGTTATGCGTCAGGTGCTGTAGTCACTCTCTGTCAGTCACAGCAGACTGCAGAAATTTCTGTCAGAGTCAGATACACACGTATTTCTGTTCAGAAGTTTGGAATTAATCGTCATATTAATACTTTTTTGCTATTTTATTCAATAATAATGTTTTAAAAGTTTTGTTAAATATGGTATTTAGATCTTTAAGTTTTATTAAAATTTTTGGAACACCAAAAAGTTACTAAATGCTAAATAATATACTGTAATAATCATTTGATATTTATTTCTTGGTACCTTACCTGCGTCATGATTTTATTACCACTTTTCAAATGGGAGGTATGCTGTATATTTTATTTTATTTATTTATCAATGTTATGTAGCTTTCTCAATTACTATGAAATCATCTGCAGCTCTGGTCATCATTCTGGACATGTCTAAAATTTCTACAAATTTGAAACCAACAAAGCTGCACAGTAAATGATATTACAAAAATTTTGGAACACTAGGTTAAATGACGTTTTAATTTTATATGTAAAAATGTTCAATTTGTTAACACACTGGAAAAAAACGCAGCTTGTGTAAAAGTTTTCCAGTATGTTTTAGATTTATATCGTTGAAATCAGTGATTCCAAATTTTGAAGAGTAGTGTACATAAGCACAGTAATATTATTATGCCTCCTCATCTCCTACGGCACTAGATAGCACTGACCCATATACCCCCCAAAGAGCCCCCATAACCCTACAGAGACAAGCCTCAATCCTCCCACCTGCGCGCTTGGCGCCTCTGGTCCCGGAGATAACCCCTCGCCCCTCACCCCCTCGCCCTCTCTCTGGACCCCAGAAGGAGTGATCTAGGATGCGAGAGAGAAAGACTGACACAGACAGAGAGAGAGAGTGTCGATGGCTCAGACTAACAGCCTGTCCCACAGGAGCTGGCAGCAGACACTGGCCTAATTAGGCTACAGCCCTACTGCAGTCCCAGACAGACAACTGCACCCTACATGCTCTCGAAACACGTGTGTGAATGAGTTCGGGTGCACACTGATAAACGTATGTTTATCAAAGGCGTGGAGTTTTATATGTATATGCTTCTATGTAGGTGTATATACATGTTAGAATAATACCTCTATGCGTCTGTACAGTAGTTAAACTTCCACATCTCAATGTTATCTCTGACCTCTAAATGTAGCTGCCGGACTTCACCTGATAACAAGTCCTGAGTGGAAATTATTCACCTCACTGCTCAAAGTCATTGTGGTCAAAAGAAAACTACAAAACTCATTTGAAAACACAAACTGGCTTTTAAACTGTGTAAACATTTCAGGATGAATGGACCAATTGATATTTGAGAAAAAGCTACCCCGTTTTTTTTTAGTCTGATTAACAGATGTTAAGGAGGAATTCCGCAGATTTTTCAACAAGTTTCCTAATTTAAGTCTTTAAGATGTAAAAAGGTCATTTAGAGTTGTTTGATATGAATAGAGAAACTTATTATTCCCAGTGTTGGTGATAGGAACCAGATGTCTGAAGAGTTTAATGTCTCTAAAAGCTTCTTCACAGTTATTAAACAAAATGGTTACGAATACGCTGCCTGACGTTGTCGTCATTGTTTTACAATAGTTTTGAGATAAAGTTTTGCCCTAAAACATATTTTTGCAGGATGTTGTGAGGCAAAGTAGTACCCAGAGAAAACTTTGTTTCAGATTTATTTGCATTTTACTGGTGTCAACATTGCATAGAAATGCATCTTAATGATTGATTTATGTAGAAATGTTGAAAAATCGGTAGAATTTAACTAAGAATTTTTTTTTTCTTCTACCAAATTACCATTTTGGAGATATGAAGTTTTCCTCTTACAACGACAATGTATCAGTTGTGGAAAGATGTTTACATTCAATGCTTTGTTTGTTTCTTACACAGAATCATCCAAAGAGAAGAAAGAGAAGGATTCTGGGAAAGACAGCAAGAAAGACTTGAAAGAGCCAACCAAGGAGAAAGAGTCAAAGAAGGACTCGTCCAAGGACTCCAAAGAGTCGTCGAAAGAGTCTTCAAAGGAATCATCCAAAGAGTCAAAGAAAGAGAAGAAAGAGTCGAGCAAGGAGAAAGAGGCTGCAGCGGAGCCAGGGAAAGAGAAGACAAAGGTGTCCAAAAAGCCTTCAGTCAAGGTCAAAGAGAAAAAGAAAGAGTCTGAGGCAGGGGACGGCTGACCAGATGCAATACAAATACACATAGACACCCCATAGTGTTTTGGTGGCTTTTTACATTTCCTGCCCTGATATCTTATCTAGGCAGCTTGTTCGTGCATGTGTGCATTTGTGCTCTAGTGTACAGGATGTAGGTAGATGTTAGCTGTACACTCTTAAAACTAAAAAGGTGCCAGAAAAGGTTCTTTGGGGCGACACTACAGATCAGCTGTTTTTGACTCTGGTCCTGGAGGACTGGTGTCCAGGACAGATTATTTATTTTATTTTAGGATATTTTTTTCTCAGACACATGAGATTCAACTCATCTGTTAATTGCCAGGTTAAGTAGGTGTTTTCTGAGTAGGGCAGTTACTAAACACAGTGGTTAAAAACCCTTGCAATAGAAGAACCACTTGTGGCTCCCTACATATTCTCTACTTAATGTAAAATTATAATGTACATAATGTATATTATAATTACATAATGTAAAACTAGAACAACTAAATGTTTTTCATCCATGCCAGAGAACCATTTAGGAACCTTTATTTTTAAGAGCGTAGTTAGTTTGTTGTTTATGACAGTGAGAGAACAGCTAGTGTACATTAGCGTACCTAGTGTACCATGTCTGGCTGCATTTGTCCAATGCCAGGGAAATCATGCAACGGAAGCACGTGTTACACTGTGAACCTTCCCCTCCATGAGGGAAACTGGAGCAAGTAGGAACCTTTATTTTTGGATGGGGGTTTATTTTTATTTAAGACAGTGCAGTCTGGCAGTGCGGCCTGCAGCGAGTCCAGCCCCAATCCCACAGTGCTAACCAAGCCACCCACGCAGGGTCAGCGTGACGTCTGCCATAGTATGTATGTGTCTCTCTATCTCTCTCTCTCTCTCTCTTTCGTTCACCCCCTCGTAGGCACCACGCCCCACGAAGCCACCTCCCCCCCCATCTCCAAGAATAACCTGCTTCCAGCCCGCCAGCTAGCCTGGGTCCACCGAGGCCACTCTCCACCATCACCACTCTGTCTCTACTTCCATCTGTCTGTCTCTCTCTCCCTCTGTGTCTGTTGCCCACTCTACAGTTCAAAAGTTTAGAATCACTTATCATATTAATGTCATTGTTTTTTATATTCGATCCTAGGGTTGTAACAATGCATCCTGACTGTAAATATACTGTAATTATCTATTTGCAGTAGCTTTTTGTTAAATTATATATCTCAACATTTGGTAATGAATTTTGAAATACATTCTGCATGTCAATTTTTATTATAACTGCACTGTCAATGTTATACAGCTTTCAGAATCATCTACTTTCTTTCTTAATTTCTTAATTTGTACAGCTTCCTACTTATTTTTTGAATTGTGAATTTGCACAGGATACGATATTAGAATCATTTTATACATGCATTTGCAACCAAAGTGGTTTTATATTATTAGAAAAAGTGATTCCAAACTTTTGACGCCAGTGTACGTATGCATATAATGTTTCTATCTCCCTCTCTCCTTTATTCTATCAGTCAGTCATATACACATACAGCATACAGACAGGCAAGAGAAGCTGTCTGTCGGTCTTCAGAGACCATAGACATTTAGTCAGCATATGTGGTGCACCAAGCTAAGCAGTGACAGTCCCACGCATGTGGCTGATAGTTTACATGCTGTTTGCATCTCCGTCTGTCTTTCCATGTGTAATGTAGGTTCAGATGTGTTTCAGTCTAAGTGTTGTCTTTTGTGTCTGATAAATTATGCTGAACATCTGTGTATTTTCTTCTTTGTAATTTTGCATCATAGCAAGCAGATTTGATTCAAGATCTTAGTGAAAGGTGCAAGTATGATTTATTTGATGTACTTCACTTTCAACTTATCCACCAGCCCGACCCCCTGTGTTTAGATCATTTGGCACATTTGATGTCCATTATGTTGTTTCTTAGTGATATCAGTGCACAGCCTCTATACAGCATCCGAATGTTCAGAATAGAGCGTAGTGCAGAAAGACCATCCTGGAGAAAGTACCAAACCATGAATTTTGAATGTTGTTTTTTTAAATGATTATACTCTAGAGCTTATTCAGAATCTTGATACTCTTACATAACTGGTATTTACAAACTGCAAAATATTATGTTTAAGAAGAAATCATTTTTTTCATCTACTTTGTGTAACAATTTTGGGCAAACTAGTGAGGCGGATGCACTATATGTCCGAAGGTCTGTAGACACCCTCTCATTCAGTGTTTCTTTTGAAATCAAGAGTAACAATTAGAACAGAGTTTGCTCCCACCCTGTGCTGCAGTAACAGCCTTTACTCTTGTGGGAAGGCTTTATACTAGATGTTGGAACATGGTTGTGAGGATTTGATTGCATTAAGCTACAAGAGCATTAGTGAGGTCAGGTACTGATGTCGGATGACTAGATCTGGATCACTCCAACTTATCCCAAATGGAGCTCATCACTCTGGAAAATGCAGTTCCACTGCTCTACTGGCCAATGCGGGTGGGGGGGCTTTATACTCACTCCTCTAGCCATTTCTTGCCATTGGGCTCATGTGCAGTTGCTCCCTTCTGTTGGCTGTGCTTTTCTATGGAGATTATAAAAGCTGTGTGCATGAAATTGAGCACCTGTATTAATAGGTGCACCATAAAGTAGCTGAATTCACCAATTAGAAGTGGTGTCTGGATACATTTGGTCATATAGTGTAGATAGTGCCAGAGTTGTTTTAGAGAGTCACTAAGAATAAATGATTTGATTACAGCTTTTTAAATGAATGTTTTGTATTATTTTTATAGTAGCTTTTGATAGCCAAAATGGAGTACATAATTATGTCCAGTGTGGTTGTGTAATAAACTGGCTGAATATTACAGCGTAATGATATCAGGTGGTCTTTATTAGACACTGATCCATGTACATCTGTATACAAGGTACCCAAACCATTCCGAACTACCTTAGCAAGTCTGGTTGTCCTGTTATCATGATCATGGTTGTTTTATAAGGCTGCCATAAAGATAAATAAAGGAATCAAATCCCGATATCCTCATCTCACTCATTTGTTTTGAACTCCCCACAGAAGTAAAGCATATTACAACTATTAAGGAACAAAGCCTACATGCTTAGAAAAACTACAGTGGGTTCAAGATTGGTTTCTGACGATACTACAGGGCAGGGGTTTAAAAGCAACACTAAAGGTTTAAAGAGAACCACTTTATAATAGGTTTATTAACAAAGAAAATGGGGCTGATTAAATGTGGGACACAAATAGTGTAAAACTTGCTGATTCATCATTAGTTTACCTTCTGCGGATTCTCCTGCAGAATTTTGATGCGGGTCTGATCAGACCCACCTGATTCCTCAATTCAGATGCTCCTGATTTTATTGGTCAGCTCAGTCAGTTGTGTTAAATAAGGAAATTCTAGCGACTGTTGTCAACAAAGGCCGTGAAGTGTTTTCCATGTATTACATTAGATTAATATGAGTGCATAACAACACACTAAAAGAATATTATTATTATTAGAGTTGTTCACTTATAGAGTACTCCAGAAAACCTTCAAAAAACATATAGTATTTTGTAGGGCATTGCGATACTCACTTAACTGTGAAAGGTTTTATGAAACATTTGATAATAACTGCTTCTATTTTTGGCCTGTAGTGTAAATCTTGTAAAGTGATGAGTACACAGCGGGGAGAGTGTGGCTGCTGTAGAAGCTCATGAAAAAGATCACAGCAGCAGGCACAGCCGCTGCCCCCTAAGTCTATCAGGGTCAAAGATCAGACTCGTTTGAAATACAAGAGCAAGGCAAACTGCCCTACGCCTGCCATGTCCAGTCTCGTCGTGTGAATCCCCCTGTCCACGCCAGACCATCCAGCTGACTGTGTGGAGACCAAGAGTCTGCCATCGGTTTTACCCTTGGCCAGCTGACCTAACACACCTACAGCAGCCATACTGAGGAGGGGACACACAGTGAGGCCTGCACAAGATTTACTGTTCATGTTAGTATCTTTATTTACCAAATCCAAAGAAATCTGCAGGGCCATTTTTCCACACCTCCAAAGTTCTGTCTTAGAAGTTGGTTGCATTTTCTGCTTCTCACTATCCAAATAATCACAAACATATTCAATGACTTTTCCATTGTTCTGAGAACATCAGCAGCTTTTTTGTTTGTTTTGCATGTGTTCTTCTTTTTCTCTGTTTCCTTTTCTCAGTAACAGCTTCTTGACATCTATGCATCCTTTCAGACCCATATTGGTGAGTTGTCTTCTCACAGTGGAAGGATGGACAGAAACACCTGTAGATTTTTTTCAGATCTGATGCAAGAGTGGAGCTTGATTTTCTCCTCCCTCTCAAAGATGAAAACTTTAGGTACTGTTTATCTGATGGGGGCCGTTTTGGTGATATAACAGGTCTTCCGAAGATGTTAGGAGTCCAATTTTCTTTATAGCTTTTGATCATTTTTTGAACTCTTGTTTCGGAAACGTGTTTTTTTTTTTCCACTTATTTTCTTTTTACCTTCAACTTCCTAATGTAAGTGGGTTATTTTATATCAAATCTCATCAAAATGTCTCCTGAAAAAAGTGTCACTGCTTGACTGAGAATAGTCCACCAAACAGAAAATACCATTGTTTAAGGCTTAGAGGATGGCCAACACTAAATGTGCAACAAAAGACGAGCTATCGTCTCTGACTTTACATCTACAAAGGAGGACCTACAAGGTAGGTGTTTCTAATAGAGTGGACAGTGAATGGACACAGTGTTCAAAGGCTCCAGCAGCACTGCTGTGTCTGATCCACTCGTAACAGCTCAACACACACTAACACACCACCACCACCATGTCAGTGTCACTGCAGTGCTGAGAATGATCCATCACCCAAATAGTACCTGCTCTGTGAGGGTCCTGTGGGTGGTCCTGACCATTGAACAACAGGGTAAAATGGGGCTAACAAAGCATGCAGAGAAACAGATGGACTACAGTCTCTAACTGTAGAACTACAAAGTGCTCCTATATGGTCAGTGGAGCTGATAAACCGGAAAATGAGTGTAAAAACAAGGAGGTGTACTTAATGAAGTGGATATAATATAGGAGGATTATGGCCTGGGATATACAGTGGATATAAAATATATATATAAATGTTATTCTATTCCTATTAAAACACAATTCTAGTTATTTTCCTTTGTAAACATGTGAATCAATACACATTAAAAAGAATTTCTTTGGTTCCCAGGTCTGCATCCAAACACTGTTCAGTGAGTGCATCCATCAGTCCGCTTACAGCTAAAGTGCTCTTTGGCGCCATCTAGTGCCTAATATTACTGCTGCCCAGCCCCCACCGCACAGCGCACAGCAGTCTGTGGTTTCTCTTAGTGAGACAATAATGCTGCGCAATAAAAGAAAGGAAAACTAACAGTTTCCTAACAGTTGGCTGGAGTTAAAAAGGTGGGGCTGAGTTATAACCGCTCCTCTGAAGTCACGTTCTATTTGTTCTCCAGCTGCAATTAACAGAAATGGCTGTGGCTGTTGTTGATGCGCTGCAGAGCTGGGCTTTATTCACATGCAGCACCGAAGGCTTTAGTTTGCATGATAGAAAATGAGTGTGAAACTAAGCTTTTGGCTACAGGTGTAAATTTGCATGGAGACTTTTGTCATTCTTCGTGATGTTTAATGTCGGTGCATTTGCCTCTACAGGCCCTTTGTTAATTTAGTCTTTGATACAGACACCGAGCCAAATGCCAGAGCAGCGAAAGCGCGTCAGTTCACCCTAAAAAACGCGCTTCCTGTGACAGCAAGCTGCTTTTTTCCTTTCATTGACTGATTACAGTGAATTGATTTACATAGCCTTAAAATCTGGAGCCTGTTGGAGAAAAGCCATCTCCAGTTTTACCATGTCCAAATAAAACGTTCGTCTTAGATTTGAAATAATCACTCTAAATCGTTCAAGTGCATCCAAACTGACCATTTTTAGGATTTTTTATTGTTTCATGACGTCACAGATTAAAGACAGACACGGTTTCAATGTAGTGTCTAATGTACTGCATTCACACTCTTGGAATTTGCAAGATTTCACATACACACTCTTCTTCAAGAGTTATTCAGTAAAGGCTGTGGTTCTGTCTAGAACCATGAGTTCTATATAGAACCGTTTCATGCTTAAATTGTTCTTTGCATGGTGAAATGGTTCTTTAGATTGATGGGGAATGTTTGAATAGCACCAAAAGGGGTTCTTCTATTGTATACAAGCTTGACATCGTAACAATCAATAGCAGAATTTTTTTTTTGGTGCTCTATAGAACCATTTTCAAAAAGGTTCTACATAAAACTATTTACAACACATTCTCCGTCAATCTGAAGAACCACTTCACCATGCACAGAACCAGAGGCATGCGAATGGTTTTATACAGAACTCAAGGTTCTAAGTGAAACCATTGCCTTCACTAAAGAACCCTTGAGGAACCATCTGTTTTAAAAGTGTAGGCTACAATGCCTTGTCCTCCAGAATTATTGGCACCCTTGTTGGTGGTGGTGGTGGGGGGGTTGGGGTGGCACAAACTAGACCGACTGTCGAGCGCACGAGCGGCGCGCACGGAGTGTTAAAAGCCCCGGGAGCGATTTAAATACTCAGAGGCAGGAGAGGTCGGGGGGTGTTGATGTGTCTGCGCGCGAGGAGGTGGAGGAGGAGGAGGATCCTGCGTCGCGCGAATGTTTAACTGGAGGCGCGCGGGGTTTCCGCCGCTTCTGAGCAAAGAGAGAGAGAGAGAGAGAAAGAGAGAGAGAGCGGAGAGGAGAGAGCAGCTCTAGAAGCAGCAGCAGCAGTGAGTATTAAGTAGTAGCAGGAGGTCGCGCGCTGCAGACGGAGCTGCGCCCGGGGAGTACGCGAGGCTGGACGTGAGCGGGACGAGCCGCTGGTGTTTTAAGGGCGCGCGGCTGTGGATGTCCGGGGATATTTCGCTGGCGGAACCGGAGAGACCCGCGAGCGCTGAACGATGGATGAGCGCGCTCTGAAGCAGAGCTCCGTTTACCGAGACTGAGCGCTCCGGCCGCTCGAGCCCGACTGGATTTTAACCTCAACCGTTTCTTCTGGAGAAAAAAAAGTGTTTTTCGTCGTTTCTTTCTTTTTTTAAACTCTATCTTTCTTTTGGTTTCCACGTTTTATCAGTGCGGACTGATGGCCGTGTGTCCGCCCCCCAAAGCCCCCCGCTGGGTTTTGTTCGTGTTGTTAGTGCTGCACGCGCCGCGGAGGATCTCACCTCTGATTACAGGTAAGAGAGGGATGGAAAGAGAGAGAGAAAAAGAGAGAGAGTCAGTCACAGTAATTGTTATAACAATTTGTCCATCGAGCGGTCCTACTGAGCATGCGCACATCATTACTACAGCTTAGTAAATTGTATTTTTACACCGTAAAACGTGATGAATAGCAGCACACTAACTAGTGTTACCCATTTTAACACTTTCTGTTTTCTGATTTAACACATTCTGTGTTAAAGGTAACCCAAAATGTGTTTTCCGTACCTGGGTATAGAAATATTTCAACGCATTTTGTGTTAAAAGTAACACAAACTGTGTGTCTCCAACTGTTAGAGACAGAATGTGTTGTTTTTTAACTCATATATCTTAAGAGTGTAATGTTAATTCAGCCTTAACTGAAATCTATCTAAGCTTAATATCACCACTTACTCCCTGATGAGGTCATTTAGGCTATCAGAATATCCTAATTATTCTTTTTAAGTCTGGTAACATTTTCTGATACAGCAAAACATCCTACCTGTAGTTTTAATGCAGGTAACGTTTTACGTTACAGTGATTTAGGCTATCAAAACATCCTGTCCTGTTTTAAGTAGGAGGCTACCTATAAATATGGGCTATGAAAACAGGTACTGAACTGTCACTGGGGTGGTCCTATCAAGGCTACGTCTTCAGTTCTTTTTAGTTCCATTGCAATTATATTTTTTAGGCTGCACTGACTTCATTCATGATGCCTTGTCTCCAGACTTTATATTATTGTTCTGTTTTAAAACCTTAGGGTCATGAAAAGGTACAAAAATGGACTTTTATTTACTTTTTAACCATATTTAACCATGCGCACAGCTGGACCTAAAACCACTGCTGTACCTTTGAGGGTACATTTATACTGTTTGTGCCATGATAAAAAAAAATGTACCTGCACAGCACCTCTTTTTCTGACAGTGTCCCGAGCATGCGCATATCATTTTTATCGTTTTTCATGCTAATTCAGCTTCAAGTCTATCATACAGACTCAGACTTATATTACTACTCACTCTTCCTGGTAAGGTCATTTAGGCTATCAGAACGTTTGCTGACAGCATTTTCGGATACACTGATTTAGGCTATCAAAGCATCCTATCCCCTTTTTAAGTAGGGAGCTACCTATATGCACTGTGGTTCACACGTAGAAAAGCTGGTTCCTTAAGGGTTCTTTAGTAATGGCTGTGCTCCTATTTAGAACCATGAGTTCTATATAAAACCATTTCATGTTTAGTGTTTCTTTGCGTGGTGATATGGATCTTCAGGTTGACAGAGAATGTGTCGTATATGGTCTGGGACATTTTTTTAAAATGTTCTACAAAGGGTTCTGTAAAGCTTATAACAAACGAAGAACGGTGCTATATAAACACATTCTCCATCAATCTGAAGAACCAGAGTACCCTACCATTTAAGCATGAAATGAACCACTGCCTTTGTTAAAGAACCCTTAAAGAACCATAAGTGTGTAGGACGTTTCGACAAGGTAGCACAGCTCGTCTGAACACCGGCTCTGTCCCGTTTGCTGAAGCTCCTTCACTCGTTCTCTGCCGGTGCTACGCTGCGCACGATTTCGGCCGCGTCCCAAACCAAACTGCCATACTCGCTATACATCAGCACTGCTCGGACTAGATGCTGTTTTTTGTGCAGTGCAAAACTAAAGAAGCAAACTTTGAGCACCAGACGTGTCCTGGCTTATCGACTACATCTGGAATAAGGAGAAAACTGGACTTTTTTGGACGAACTGTCCTTTTAAATCACTCATTGGCGTTTTAGTGAACTCAGCATCTGAATCCAAACCCAGGTAGGCTACCAAGTTCAATTTCTGACGTTCAAACTGCAAAAAATCCCACTTTTGTACCTACTGTATAATAAATGCACTGTCCAGAGGACACTCACCTCCCTAGTCTCATCTCCCCTCTTCATTCCCAAGTCTTTCTCTTAATCAGCTGTTTGCTCTTCATGGCTCTGGAACTGGATCACTGCATCTCCTGAAAACAAACAAGACCTGTCTGAACAAAACTGAACCGAACTGAGTTGAATTCAACCGAATTTAATTGACTTGAACTGAATTTAACTGAATTAAACTGCACTGAACTGAAAATTAATTTAATTTAACTAATCTGAATGAAAGAGATTTAAATTGAACTGAATGGAACTAAGCCGAACTGAATTGAATTAAACTGAATTAAATCGAGCTTAACGGAACAGCTATAACTGAAATGAACCGAATCCAGTTGAAACTGTACTGATTTCAATCTTTAACCTTAGCAAATGTATATCTTGAGGCAACAAGCACTTTCATTGGTTAACTGCTTCGATAAAAATGAAAAAATAAGTAAAGCAGAAAGCTCATTTTCTCACCAAAGCTTCTCCTCAGCCAGTCTGAGTGCAGGAGCAGGTGGAGCGCGGGATAAACCCGGGCAGCAACGTCAGAAGTGCTTCGTTAAGCCGGTTAAGCTCAAATCTGTACATTTTTATTTACTGTTGAACGCTGAGGAGAGAAAATCAACCGTTACGTCGAAAAATTCAAAATTTGACGCGCTTGGTGCGCTTGCGCGCGAGACCAGAGTGAGCGGGAAAAAGCTGTAAAAACGCTAAAGACGCTTATCATGTAGCCATAAAGTTGGAAATAAAGCAGCAGAGATGGGCAGTAAGTACAGCTCTCACTCTCTCTACTTTTCTGAGTATTTTCACGTGATAATGCTGTTACATCTACATATTTGTGGAGAATCTTTTACCTCAGGCTTCTCACTCTTAAAAAAGACGGTTCTTCAGGGGTTCTTTAGTGAAGACAGTGGTTCTGTATAAGACCATGGACACTCAAAGAACCATTAGAATCTTTTCATAAAGGGTTCTTGGTCTGTATACAAACTTGACATTATAACAATAGCCAAACTCTTTTGGGTGCTATGTAGAACCATTTTCAAAAAGGTTCTACATACAACCACAATACATTCTCTATCAATCTGAGGAACCATTTCACCAAGCAAAGAACCATTTTAACATGCAAATGGTTGTTTGTGTGTTTACCGTTCCACATAGGACTGTTGTCTTTTACTAAAGAACCCTCTTTTTTTAAATGTGTGTAGATCACTACTCTTTTACTTTGACCTGAGACACTGTTTGTGAAGTAACACGTTTACTGGAGAACTCAAGGCTCCTCTACTCATCTGTAAAATAATACTGATGATAATGAAATCGACATTTAAAAAAATACGACGAACTGTCCCAACCGTTTCATTAGCAGCCGTTTGAGAGAGACCTGTGTGTTTTCTGCAGGTACTGAGGCGAGCTGTGATAATGAAGGAGAGGTGCTGCACATCCCCAACATCACAGACAACCCCTGCATCTCCTGCGTGTGTCTGGTGAGAGCTCACAGCATCATTTCCACCTTCTTTCTACAAGAGTATACTCTCAAAAAGAAATAAGGTTCCTTTAGTAAAGGCATTTAGAACCACAAGTTCTGTGTTAGAACCATTTCACGCTTCATCCTTTAAATGGCCAAGGAGAGTGTAGGCCCAAAGTTTTATTACATACATCTATAACCTAAGAATAGCTCAACCAGTTTGCATTAAAGACCCTGTGGTTACTAAATAATAAGCCTTAGTATGTTGTACGACTGGGATTTTATGGGGTTAAATGGTTCTTTGAATGGTGAAATGGTTCTTCAGACTGGTGAAGAACTATTTCATGTGTTGTCAATGGATGTATGTAGAACCTTTTTGAAAATGGTTCTATAGAGCACCAAAAAAGGTTCTGCTATTGTCACTATGTCGAGCTTGTATACAACTGAAGAACCCTTTTTGGTGCCATTCCTTCTATCTCCGAGGTCTCTTACTCAGTTTTCCTCTGCCCTGTTTCCTTCTCTCCGTTTCTCCCTATCTCTCTCTCTCTCTCTCTCTATTTCTCCTTCTTCTCTGCCTCTCTCCCTTTTTCTCCACCCCCTTTCTCAATCCTTTCTGTCTCTATTTTTCTTTCACTCTCTCTGTCAATCTTTCTATTTCATTCTCTCTCCTCCTTCCCTGCATTTCTCTCTTGCCCTCTCCCCCATATCTGTCTATCTCTCTCTGTCTCCCTCTCTCCTCACTCTTTCTGTCTCCCAATCTCTCTCTCTCTCTCACCCCCTCTCTTTCTCTGAGGTGTGCTAGGCTCCTCTGATAGCAGTCTGAGTTTTGCCCCTGGCCTTATCTAATCTGCCCCCGGCCTCCTGCCGCGGGTCACAGCCCTCCTTTAATCTGCCCCTGTCCAGCCTGAGAGACAGTGTGGCGCGGAGGCACAGGGCCCCCATTAAACTATCTCCTAATGGTCGGCCGGTCAGTGAGCAGCACTGAAGCGTCAATCTTTTAGCCCTTCTCTCCTCACCCGGTATCAGGCTGTGGAGCGGTGGAACTGAGTTCTCTGGAGCGATGGAGCTCCATCCAGTACCTTTGGAATGATTTAGCATCCACAACTAATCACCCAACATTAGTAGCTGTCCTCCTCACTAATGCTCTTGTCTTGATGTGCAATGGTTCACTTGTTCGTCACTATGGAACTATATATATATATATATATATATATATATATATATATATATATATATATATAAATATTATATAAATATTTTCAGTTCATGTGTGCTGTGTGCATGGGCAGCAAAGGCATGACCCCTGTGCAATGCCTGTCTCTGTTTAGATTTTAGAGCCACTAATATATCTCATTTGGCCAAATTATATGGCAGCATCATACAGTTGTAATAAAACCTTGTATTTCCAAAATGAAGCAGTGCAAGGTCTTTAATTTTGATGTACATTAATGTGAAGCGATTTTTCTCTGAGCTTGATGGCTGGTTTCTTCAAATGGTACTACATAAAAAAACAAGACCAAAAATTTGAGTTTTTGATATGACAGGAATGACATGTGTCCTTAATCAACAAGACAACCCTGCAGTACAAGCAAGATAATAAAATGTAGCCACATACCAAAGACCAGATCTGCAGTCGTACTTGAAAAAGTTTGATATGTCTCTCAGGACTGAGCTGATGAGGGCAGAGGCACAGTCTGTGTGTAGGTCATGACCTGCATGTTTTTAGAGAAAGGTTAAGGGTCAGAAGGCAAGGGCAGGGGCATTACTGGGGCCATGAGTGGAGAAATGCTCTTAAGAGTTCTCAGACCTTCCAGAGAAATTCGACAAACACTTAGCACCTTGTTTTGGCATGTCTGCACATCAGTTTAAACCTGAGACAGAGTCATGTTATCTGGCATTGACTGCATTTTTGAATAAGACATTTGACATTTGATCACTGTCGTTTTCTCTGAGTGGAGACTGCTAACAAGTTTGCCAGGCCTCTTCTGTCAGACCGGACTTCTCATCCCATGAGCTTTCGGGGGCTCCAGGTTTAATCTCCTGTGACCTTTGACCTCCTTCAGATAGGTCTCCCTCACTCCACATCACTTAGTGCTGATGACCGAGTGGGCAAAAAAACATAGGTGGGCAAATACAGGCTAATGTCCAACACTTAAATTTACAACTGGGGTTTTCAGAACAACAGTGTGGCGTATCTGACATTGAATTTTCTGAAGGTTTGGATGCTAAAATCCCTTGTTTCCCTCGTGGAAAGCTTGCCTCCCTCTCGTCCAGCGTTTCTTCTGAAGTCAGTGGTGTTAACAGGGAATCCCGTCTTTGCTGCAGTAACAGCCTCTACTCTACTTTGGAAAGGCGAAGGCTTTGCACTAGATGTTGAAACATTGCTGTGAGAATTTGATTGCACTCAGCCGTAAGAGCATTCAAATACTGATGTTGGATGATTAGTTCTGGATGCCAAACACCATTCCTACTCTTCCCAGAGGTATTGAGTGGAGCTCCAGAGAATGCAGTTCCACTGCAGTGCTGGGGGGCTTTATACCCCTCTAGCCGACACCTGGCATTGGACATGGTGATCTAAGGCTCATGTTTTTGCTCCAGAGCATCCCATTTTATTGGTAGTGCTGTGCAAAGGCTATGTCTGTGCAATGGAACACTGGCTTCTTAGCAATGTATGCACCTAAGTAGCTAACCAGAAAGGGTGTCTGGATAGCAGCAATATGAAAAAATGTCTGTACAAATTCTTAACTGTGGCTGTAAAGGTACAATTAATAACCTTAGGCCAAAAATATGGCAGTTAACAGATTCAAGGGAGAGTCCTTGATTTGTAGATAGAGTGCATTTCTGAAAATGTGTTTGTATTTGAAACTTTTTCATTGTTCAGCTCACAGTAAGGTAGAAAAGGTATGTTTGGAAAATGAATCACATGAAAAATATGTTTTGGAATGAACAGGAATATATTATAAATTTACCAAAAATAAAAATGGGCATATATATCACTTTGCTCTAAGATGCCATATAGTGAGTTTAGCTGGACTTTCACGAGTGCTGTAAGGGTAACAATGGGGAAGGGAAGTGCTTTTATTGTGTGAAGAGAGCCTGAGCAAGTACTATGAGCCACTCTGAGGAGGCCACAGCCTTTCACACAAAGTAAAGAAGGTCAAGGGGAAACTACAATAACTACAATGTACAAGCTCCCGAGTCAAACAGTGTGTCTTTGACACGATTAGACTGTATTAGTGTGTGATTTGAGCCCGCTTGGATTTTTGGTGGGGGGAAAGCAGTGTTAGTGTCAAAGAGACCGGGTGACGACGGGTCTCTGAGGGACTCTCAAGTTTTCCGCCTTCGTCTTCTGCTGTCATCTCTCCAAGGCGACGTGACGGCTTAATGAATTCCTTGTATTGACTTACGGTAGAGTCTAACTTTATGAAAGGAAATCAATGGAGGGTGGGTTGTTGCCGGCTGTGTTGTAAGCTGATAGTTCCCCTTCGCTCTGACTGAGCCTGTAATCCGCTGCCTGAGACATTTATCAGCCTGAGCTGTTCTTCTGACCTTGGAGAGGCTTGACACAAACAAATTTGGTTCAGATCGACTGACATCTGAAAAGTGGTCTAGTCTTTTCTTTCAGACTGTAGTCTAGTCTCAAGTGTACTCTCTCTCCCTCCTCCTGTCTCTCTCTCTCTAGCTTTCCTTCTTTCTCTTTCTCTCTCTTATTCACTTTCTTCTCTTTGAGATGATGTTGTTAAGCAGGCTGATGTGGTTGAAGAACATTTAAAGTCTCACTATCATAAAGCCACTCTGTAATATTAGAAACCTACTACTTTACCTTTCTGGGCCCGTGTTTCTCTTTGAAGCGGAGTTATTTAATTGCCTCACTGGGTTATGAACATGTAGGTCCACTACAGGTCAAACTTTAGATTACACTCAGCAAATGTGTCAACAAAGATGGATTATGACTCTCTCACCCTCAGCACCTCTAATGATAAAGGAATAATTTGAACAAACTCAACATGATGGTAAAAATTCTCTCTCTGCTCTGCAGGATGGAAAAGCAGACTGCAAGCAGGAGAAGTGCCCCCTAGTGGCAGAAGACTGCGCTCTGGTGGTTAAACAGACAGGAGCCTGCTGTGAAAGATGCAAAGGTGAACACAATTACATAGTTACTGTCAGTAAATACAATTTAAAGTAAACAACTGTAAATATGGAGGTTTGAAAGTTATAGTAAAGAGTGATTTATGTGATTTGCTACCATTTTAGAGATACAAGCTTTTGTAAGGACATCAAGAATATGATAAAAGATGGCTTTGATAGTATAATGTAATTGGTTAAGGCACCGCGCACATCAGTTGTATTCTATATTTCATGTGACAACTTATTAAAAACAATTGTGCTATACATGGAATAATCTTGTGGAAGAACTGTATATTGCAAATGTTATTAACAATAAATATAAAATTAGAAGTATTTGCTGCCCTCTTTTAAAGGCAATAACTTAGCACTTTGTTATTTTATTTATTTATTTAAATAAATAAAATATTAATAAAATAGATTTTTATTGTATCAACAGTGCAAAGCAAGGAGAGAAGATACACTCTTTCAAGTTGATCTGCTTACTTAGCTGTTAGGTATGTCAAGTTGGGGAGCAGTACAGCTACCTGGGGCAGTGGAGGAAGTGCCTTACCCATGGGCCTTACCCCGGCCTGTTTCAGCACTTTTTTAACATGCCCTCACCAACTTATACTCACCACTCAAATATGCATCACTCATAGGTTACACAAGTTGTCATTGTTAGTCACAGAGCTTTAGATTGCTAATTAGCAAGGTAGCAGAGTAAAGTGATGGAGCACTGTTATACATGATCAGCAATCATGTATAACAGATGGAATAGTTTGTAATTTAAAGCCCAGCAAATTGAATATTGTGGTTTTGATGTATTAAGCATTCAAAAGTAGTGCTATGATTTATAAACAGCTTTGTCCACAATTCCTCTTAGAGTTTAAACAGGCAAATGCATGAAATTGCAATAAACCAAAACCTTGTGGTTTTTGGTTCACCTTTCTAACCACTAGGCTACCAGTTTCAAAGACCCTGTCTTACAGTGCTTAACCATGCTAAAATCACTGTAACCTATGGTCTTGAGTGACTTATTGCTTTATGAATGCTTGATCAGAGCAGCGGTCAGTGACTCACTATGTGACTTCAAGCGCAGTGATCTGTAGTGTGGACATAAAGGTCTTTTGTGTATGAGAAAAAGGGCATTTGTGTGCACTAAAATATTCCCACTCTCCACATAGGGTCTCAGCAGCTGCTCTAGCTGATTGAGAATTGGAGTCTTGGGTGCAGCTTGGGTTTATGGGGCACAGAAATAAAATCCTCCTTTTTTATGAGGTCTGTGCTGCTTCAGTGCTGGTTTGGCCCGTATGCTCTCATCGGAGAGAGAGGAAACGCCAGTTTAGCCAGGGTCACTCTGGACTAGACTCGTAGCTTCACAGCAGGGGCACAGGCCTTTGTTTGCGATCTGTTCTCCGCGCCCCCCCACTCTCTTTCTCGCTCTGTCTCTCTTTTTATTTTACGAGCCAGGGTTTATTAAAGATGCCTGGGCCTTTTTTTGTTTTATGTCAGCTCACTTTTTGTTAGTTTTGAATGGAAAATCCCAAGCCGTCATGTTTTGTGTTGTTCCTGCATTCCCTCCAAAGCTCACGGCTCCATGCTGGTTCCTTTCATTTGGGGCCATATTGAATTTGTTTTAATATGGACGTGTAGAATTAGGACGAAAGGGTCGACAGGACAGAGGGCAGACATTGCCTTCTGTCCTGTGGTTCACCTCTTCCAGAGGGCTTACGGTAAACCACAGACTTTAGTGTGGAGTAGAGTTTCCATCCACACAGTAGTGACTTAATGTGTTGTCTATTCAAACTATGCAGCATGAATTCAGTGAGATCAATGGTATGCTTTTCAGAATCTGAATTAATCTCACTCGTTCTATCCAGGTTGTCAGCTGGAAGGGAAGGCCTATAATAGCTCATATTCCTGGACTACTCCCACCAAGCCATGCATCACACGTCGGTGTCAGGTAAGATAATCTGTCTTTTAAGTAATTTTGCTCTATTAGAGTCGTATCTGTGTGCTTGTGTACTGGGGCTTATACCTGTCAAACGTCTCAGAGTTTTGGCAGGGGAATCTGTATTTGTTATGATAAATAAGGGTCTGAATGTGCTGGATAAATATTCCTAAAATATTACCTATTCACTAAATATTCATTGGGGTATTACTCAAACAGTCTGATCCTACATCAACACTCCTCCATCTTTGATGTGTATGATCTCTGCATGGAAAGATGTCATGACTTTGCATATGTTTGCATAAGTTTCCTCTTTCATATTTAAGAATATACTTAAAGAGAATTCTTGAGGTAATTCTACGAGTGCAGTGACACCAGCTACCCGATACAATACTAAATAAAATACGGAACTGAGATCCCATCAGTAAAATAAAGCAATAAACCACAGGAAACTCTGCATTACACTGATTTTACCAAAGTTAACGGGTGTTGTTATGCTATGATGAAATCAACAATAACCCCCACACTCAAGTGCAGTATTAATTATCTTATGAGCAATTAGGCTGCTTAGCAGTGTATGCCATAGCAGTGTATGCCATAATAGCTTAATAGTTGTTCCATACATAATGATTTTTAACCCTAAAGGCTGATGCAAAAACATGGCTATTTCAGCAGTTTAGTCTTAATAAGGTGATTTCTGTTGTTGCATTTTGTTGATATTTAAAGAATGTGATCTAACAAAGCCAAAAAATCATTTATTTTTATTTAGTTTGTGTCACAAACTTCCTTTTTTTAAAACAAGAAAACATGAAAGACAATACAAGTTTTGTACGAATACAGCATATCGGCTATGTTTTAGAATGACTCTGAATGGACACTAAGCACTCTCGGAAAATATCACAGTGCATTCAACAGTGCAGAAAACCTTGTGCCTCCTTTATACAGTGATACAAATGTGAAACAGTAGCGATTCTACACTCTGATACATTTCAGGATCTGCATGCGCCATAACTCCTCTGATGGCAGATTTAAATGAGTTAAAGGGGTCGTCAATAAATTCTCACCAAAGAATCACTGTTGAGAAGCTTGGGTCAGTAGGGTTAATACCTTGGTGCATAAATTCAGAAGGCATTGGCTGGCTCGGCGGATCAGATATTTAAACCGGAACTGTTTTATTAGGTCAAATTTGCATATTTTAGTGAGTGCAGGCTGACCTGGAATTGCCTTTTCAGCATCTCACTCAGTGGCCTTCACTAAGAGCGTTAGTTAAGTGGAGAGGGAGTGACTGAGGACAGATTTATAGTTTATTGCCTTGCAGAGAGTAAACAGGTGAACTTGGCTGTTCCATCTGCACATCTGGGTCCAGCGCACACAGACCTCTGTATTATTTCTTGCATCACGGCCACAGGAAAGTGCTGGCCGCTGGGGAGAACACAGGTGTGTGGGCAGAATTCCGAGTAGATTCCAAAAGCTTTAAGAGTCCAAACCAAAGGAGAAGAGAAGCCAATATGAAAATGCTCAGCTGTGACACGAGTGTCAATAAGTTGTGGGCAAAGAGCCCCACTCACACAAATCACAGAGCAGGCAATTCTGCTAAGAAGCCTTAAAATTCAGTTTTACAGTTCAAATATTTCAACTGTCTGCTTGCACCCTGAGAGTTAGACTTTTTTTTCCTCAAACAACTGTGCCTTCCATGTTCCTTCAACCAAACTGTTGCTGTCATATCTCAATTCCTCACAATAATTTTTCATTTGAAAATGCCAGCTGGCAAACAGGCCAATCGAAATCATACAAAATTGCCTGGAATTAAATCATTTTTTTTTGTGGTGTCAAATTTAATGCATCAAAAACGTGTTAACGTGCTAAATGATTAACACCACATTTTTTAACACCGCTAACACATTTTCCTTGTTTGACCCATAGTTCCCCCCTAACGACCAGCTGCTCATGCACTCTGTGATGCTGTGACTGTATGACTGTAGCCCTCTCATTCACGTATGGCTTTAAATTGGCAAGTTCCAGTCATCATTTCTAAACTTATTACCATCTAATGCAGTGCCATGAATTTGTTTGTTACCGAAGTTCGAGTCTGAAGTATCATTTATAAGGAAAACACAGTTGATACCGCGATATATTGGTAATTTAGCAGGCTGTGCTGGACTGTGCTCACGGGAGAACTATGTATACATCAACAAGCAGCAAACCAATAAAAGCAACAGCACTCTGGTACACAAAAGCCCCCCTCGAAACAAGACAGGACATAGCAGCATGAGAGCGAGAGGGCTACAATCGCTACTCCCCCAATCTCTACTTGAGAGCAAAACCTCATACAAGTGTACACACTGGACTGTGTAATTTAGGGGTATTCAACTTCGGTCCTGGAGGGCCGGTGTCCACAGTTGGGTAATTCCCCTATTCACACACACCCACTAATTAACCGATGAGTTGAATCAGGTGTGTTTGGGCAGGGAAATCACCAAACTGTGCTGGCCCTCCAGGACCGGAGCTGAAAACGCCTGATGTAGATAGATTAATGTGACCGTGAAGATCGTAATGGCTGTTATTGTGTTTGGGACAGGAAGGTGTAATCACTGAGGCAGAAATGCAATGTGTGGTTCCCTGCAAAAATCCTAAGATCCACCCCAAGAAGTGCTGCCCATCGTGTCCAGGTGAGTGTGTGTGTGGGTATGTCTTTTTATGTCTGTTCAGCCTTTTTGTGCGCCTTAAACTCTAAGCTAATTTTTCAGTTATTAATCTTTAAGCTTAATATTTAGTACTATGAATTATCTGATACTATGAAACAAATATGTTAGATGTGAAAAAATGAGGAGTTAAAGTTTAAACCTCCAATGTTTTTAGTTTAAGTAAATTTTACTCATATTTTGATAAATTATAATGAATTATACACAATTTAAATAATAATTCTGCAAAACTGATTAAATACTATAAGCTGATATATATTTTATTTTATTTTTTCATTTTTACCATTGGGCAGGTCAGCACCTTACTTAGTGTTAACTAAGTAATCTTGAGTGTGCAGATTCTCATCTCTGATTCTCTGTGTCTTCCATGTGCTCAGGCTGTATATTTGAAGGACGTCTGTATAAGGAGAGAGAGGAGTTTCACCCTGAAGGGAAACCCTGCATCAAATGCATGTGCACTGTGAGTATCTCCACTCACCATATCTGCCATTCCTGCTGCTTTCTCGGACATATGTCTTCATCTACTGCCATGTTCAGTTAGGCAAAAAAGTGTTTCTTATTTCTGTAGAAGACAATGTGTCATATATAACAGTTATAAGTTGCCAGTGAGAAAAACCAAGCTATTGTATCTCATTAAAACAAGCTTAGAAATTCTGTGGAAAGTGCTGATTGTACTTTCAGTAGATCCCATGTCTGTATTTGAAGGTCATGTGATGAATTATAATTTTGAATATTATGAAAAGTTATTGTTGTACACCAAAAACAACACCTGTACGTTTTTACTACCTTTTTTATTGTAATTGTTTGCTTTCAAAACAACCAAAAAAAAGTCAAAACTGTCAATACAGAATGTAAATCAAATATAAATGTACAGGGTGATTCAAAAAGATTCATCCAATTTCAAAATGATTTATTTCACTTGTAAATAATTACAGAACAATGCAGTAAATTGTAAATGGTTTAAATGAGCATAAAGTTTATTATGTAATTTTACAAGTGCTCAATATGAACCTCTTCCAGCTGTACAGTCAACATCAACGCCACAGTCAAATTCATCCCATACTCGATTGAGCATGTCGGGTGTCACTGCACTCATGGCTCTTTCAATGTGATTTCAGAGATCATCCAGTGTTGTTGGGAGTGGTTGCACATAAACAGAATCCTTAATGTACCCCCACAAAAAAAGTCACACGGCATGAGAGCTGGTGATGCTGGTGACCTTTTTCTTGGAACTGTTGGTACCAATGACGAATGCTCTGAGCTGTTGGAGGTTCACTGCCATACTGACAGTCAGAAACCCTGTGACCCCCTCTTTCAGTTGGCATGTGATTGGTTCCTAGGCGCCTCACGGTTGTAAAAATATGACGCTTTGAAATCAGATGAATCTTTTTGAATCACCCTGTAGTTTATTGTATAACTAACTATGTAATTGAGTACATGATGATGTAATTGCATTTGAACAGTATAGCAAAATGACAGAAATAACACGTTCACTTATGTTCTTTAGCTTTGCTGTCTCAGAGATGCTGTTGTCCTCCACTGTGCTTAACACTGAAAAAGCAGTGGCATTAGTTGGTCTTCTTGCGGTGGCTGGCTGAGCTGTGTGACTCTGCGGCTAATGGGTTTGTCTTTGACTCTCCAGGGAGCCGCTGGACTTGTCTAACTACCTTTTAACAATAAATAAACTAGGCAGATAAACACATTAAGGTCTTTACTGCACTTCCCAGTCAATTAGAGAGCTAGTGGTTATAAAGAGCACATGTGTATGTGTGTGCTGGGCCAGTATTGCTGGACTGTGGAAAGCTGTCCAAACAGAGGGCTTATTTTGGATGTTGGGTCCTGCTCTCTGGAGACTTTGGTTTATATTCTCCATGGCTTTGTTTGGTCATTTTAATGAAGGCAGTGTCATAACCCTATACATGGGTTCATATGAGTCACCACCCCACCTCCAGCTCTAACATTCCTTTACAGATCATATCCAGTGTCACACACTGCTGTGACGAAGGGCAAACCCGGCAACATTACGCGCTCACAAACACAAGTTTGTATTTATGCAGTGTCCAGACACAGGGTCAAACCTATTTGCAATAATACAATAAAATGTCCGAAGTCAGAGACATCCCCTCATTTTTTAATTTCTAGTTAAAACAGCCAAGTGCAGTTTATTCAGGAGATATTTCTGAAGAATTAGATATAAGATATACATATAAGATACTCTTGCGAAAGACAGATAAAATCAAAGAAAATTAAGTAATAACGGGTTTAAAAATGATTAAAAACTACAGACAACATGGGACTCCTTACAACCTCCTGCAAGATCTGGTAGACAGACAAAACTGCCCCCTCAGCTAAACGGCACTTAAAGCTTTCATCTTTGAGAGAGAGGAGAAAATTAAGCTGCTTCAGATCTGTAAACATCCACAGGTGTTTCTGTCCATCCTTCCAAGACAACACCGTGCTATGGGTCTGAAAGGATGTGTAGCTGTCAAGATGCCTCACTGAGAAAAGGAAACAGATAAAAAAACAAGAAAATGTGCAAATTAAACTAAGCTTCTGGTGTTCTCAGAACAATGGACTGACCACCCCAGACTCCAGACCTCAGCATCAGTAAACACCAGAAGCAGAAAATGCAACCATCGTCTAAGACTAAACTTTGGAGGTGTGGAAAAATATGCCAGCATATTTATTTGGATAACTGAAAGTAACTGTGCTGAAAAGAATGGAAGCTGTAATGAAGGCAAAGTGCGGACACACAAGTACCGAAAAAAGTGAAAATAGATTTAGTTGTTAGAACTTCTGTGTAATCTTCTGCCAAATATGTGATTTCTGCTCTCTTTTGATCTGCTTTTTTGTGCTTAATGGCTGGAAATTAAAGGAATGAAGGGTGGTCTCTGACATTTGCATATTAATGTATGTAATATATTTATCTAACTACCTGTATGTAATAAGAATTTTCTAAACCTGAGCCTAGTGCTCTCAAACATGAAATACGGAGCTCTACAAAGTAAGGACCATTTTGTTGTTCTTAATGTATGTTATTGTAGGTTACTCCTGTTTTTCACACACACACACACGCACACACACACACACACACAAACAGAGCGAAAGCGTTCACCCAACCTTCAAAAAGTTTTTAATTTGTGGTTGGTTTTACTGCAAACACAGCAACCCTGTCTGTCTTCTTGAGGCTGCTTAAAGCTACAAGCTACGTGAGGATCACTGTCGCTGTCCTCTGTGGCGATTTTCTCCCTGATGAATGGCTCTCTCTTTGCCATCATGGCTGCTGTTGTCATTAGTTACACACATGCCTAAGACCGCTAAATCACTCAGAGCGGCCTGGATCCCACACTAAAACGGGCAAGCTAATTCACCCTAACAGGGTAGACCCCATTTGTCTTTATTCATTTCATGTCTGTCTGTGTTTTTTGTGTTAGGGAGGTCGAACGATGTGTCATAGGGAAGTGTGTCCTGTTCTTTCTTGCCCATCTCACCTGAGCCATACACCTCCAGGCCAGTGCTGCCCCAGGTGTCAAGGTACGTTTACTATATTTCCACTAGTCACATCACCCACTCAAATATAGTCCTCAATTGAAAGCTTAGACTTTATCCCTAAGATAAAATGTTTTACTGGAATGAATTAAAAAAAGAAAGCATGGAAGGTTTAACGCTTGTTTATTCCATGCATTTAACATAAGATCCACACCTGATTTGCTGATTTTGTGTTTCAGAATCTCCAGGCTTCAGATAGAGTTAGATGTGATTTGAGTACCAGTTAAGCTGCAGAACAATAAGTCAGAGATACACAACTATGTTCAAATTTGTTCAAATGTTCGAACCAGAAATCTTTTTTGTTTTAAATATTTTCATATTTTGCATTACATATGTGTACATATGCCATTTTGCTTAACATGAGACACACCCTGCAGTTCTATGTCACACACTCACCTATTTAAAAATGACATGATAATACATGATTATCAGATGACCACACTGACTGTCTAATGCTTGTTCTAAACTAACCAGTTAACTGAAAGAAACAAGCTTTGTTTTAATTACCTAATTACATATAGGTATACTACATTGCAAAATACTGCAAAATACCATCTCCAGAATAAACCTACTGTAACCTAGAAATGATCGACTGTGTCTTTATTTCTGCCTTATCCAGGTCAGAGGAAGGTGTTTGACCTCTCTCTGGGCAGCTGCTTGTTCCACAGTGAGGTCTATGAGAACGGCACATCCTTCAGCTTTGATAACTGCACAGCGTGCACTTGCCTGAACTCCACAGTGGTGTGCAGAAAGCGCTGTTCTCCATCTGGAAGCTGCCAAGGTGCCACCTGCTGCCCGGAGTGTCTCTCCTACCTGAAGACGGAGGATGTGAAGTACTGCAGAGTCAAGAACAAAATCTACAGGGTGAGAAACAAAGGATGCTTCAATACACTGGATGAATGAATGGATGGAGAGGTGAATGGATGAAAGGATAGGTGGAAGGATGTGGGAATGGATGGATGGATGGAGGGATAGATGAATTTAGAGATAAATGGATGGATAGACGGATTGATGGATGAGTGGATGGACAGATGAATGTATAGACAGATAGATAAATGTATATGGGTGGGTATGTGGCTGAATGGATGGATAGTTTGCTTAGATAAATGGATGATGGATAAATGGATATATGAATAAGTGGATAGATGGCTGGGTGAATTTGGTGGATGGATGGATGGAGTGGTAGATGAAGCAGATGGATAATGGATGGATGGATGAATGGATATATTGATAAGTATGGATAGACTGATTAGATGAGTGATGGATGAATGGCTAGTTTGATTAGGTACGGATGTATGGATGGTATATAAGTGAATATTAGCCCAAACCTTTTGATGAGGGCTTTATTAATACTGTATCTCTCTGTGTCCTGGTAGGATGGAGATAGGTGGTCATCTGTGAACTGCACACTGTGTTCCTGTGTGAAGGGTAACACTGAGTGTCAGCCCAAGCAGTGTGTGCCGGTCACCAGCTGCCCCCCGGTGAGACACCCAAAACACACTGACCAGCCAACACAATTAACACACATTGAACTATTCACGCAAATGCAGCACTGCCTTCTGCTCCTCAGTGCCTCAGTCCTTCACCTATGACTGAAAATAGTAGAGGACAGGAAGAATTAGCAGTTTGGTGTTGATTTTCAGTTTCCATGTTTGCATAAGAGTGTGTTACATAAAGTGTCCAGTTCAGGATATTTACTGAGTACATGTAAAGCAACATGAACTTTGCAGTAGTATTGCAATAAAGACGGCAGAAAAAGAGCATCACTTCATATTGTCAGTAGGAGCAGTGTTCTTAGCGCCACATGGTAGAGCTGCACATCATAAAATCTAAATTATTATTCACTACACAAGAGTAGCTTTTACAAAACACAAATCACAGAAATTCCCTCCGCTATCTCGGATGTTCCAGGTGCCCTCCAGTATCAAAAATGATCCTGGTAGCATTCACAAAGTTTGATAATGACTTTTAATCCCCTCTTTGACCGTATTGCATGGAAACTCTACACCCACGCCCTTTGTCATATCCCAGCTCATTTTGAAATCATTATGTGACAATGCAATCACAATATGATATCCGTATCGTGCAGCCCTGAAACACGACTCTTCGTACTAGTGTCTTTACTTCTTACCTCTAACCCTGCCAGCTGTTCGCTACCCCTCACTTCAGCCTTTCAGCAGAATTATGGGCTGTGACTAACCAGCACTGGAAATATCTACCTGTGTGGCATTCGTGTATGGCATTCTCTATGGTGATTTACTCTCTCTGTGGCCATAATTTGTCTGAGCTAAGGGGAAGTTCATTACTGCCTAGTAGATTTTCTCATTTGAATAGGTAGTATATGTAGTGTAGAGATGGGCGATACAAACTCAAATTTCTACCACAGTAACATGATATCATGACCAAAAAGTATTTAATAATAACAACAAAATAATAATAATAATAATAATAATAATAATTCCTATTATTATTATTATTATTATTATAATTATGATGAATCTGCTACTACATGAGCCTTTCGAAGTTAATGGTTTAAATTGCATGTCACACTTTTGTTGGGTTTATTAAAATCCTTTGTGTTTAATTTACATTGTGTTGTGGCTGTTTATCATTCACCATGGTATTCATAACAAAAATCCAAATGGGACAATGGGACGTCTTAAATTTTCTGCATATCGTCACTGTCCATTTCTATTTGGTCCATTCATCTTGAAAGTTTCCCAGAATATAAAAAGGCGGCTGCTGTGCTGAAATGAAAACAAAAATAAAAAATGAAAAAAAAATGGTGATACTTTTTTCTTTTGGACAGCGACGATAATTTTATACCTCCCACCCCTAATATATGGTGGTCACCTACCACATGGTACTTTAGCATACCACTGATTTCCCAGCATGCACCTGTCTCTGGTTTGAGAGGCTGCCAGATGGTAGGAAGAGCCTTTACTTTGACTTTAGACTAGTTTACCTCCTGTTTGACTGACAGTGAAGAAACATAACCCTATATTTAGACTCGAGAAGCCAGTCTCTCAAACCGCAGGCCTTTGTGTGCTCTGAATGGAGTGAGGTTCTGGATGAGAGTATGGCTTCTTATGTGTGTGTGTTGGGGGGGGGTTATTTTGCCCTGAGGGTGCAAAGTGGATGAGGGGGGGAAAAAGCTTTGATGTGTGCTTCTGATGGCACTTGAAACAATCTACCCTGTTCTGTTCCCTCAGACTACCTTGCTAAGACACAATGTCTGTTTGTCTGTTTTGCTCTGTTTAACCCTTACATAACATTTCACATCTCATCTGCTAAATGTTCAGAGTCTCTGTCTCCTATAAGTCATTAAAATCTGCCCCTGAGAGTAGTTGGTGTGCCTGCATGACCAGATTGGTTTTAGCAAAATGGATCAGCATGTGGAATCGGAGCTTTCTGTGTGCTACCTTGTTTTCTGTTACTGTAGAAAGAAGATCTATGCTGCCTTTTTTGTTGGATGCACTGTGATAGTTTCCGACCGAGCTCACACATTCGGAATACAATTCACATCGCCAAAAGCTTAAAGTTGCTAAAAATCAACTGAAGTGTGAAATAATTTTCTCTTTATACATTTAGGGTGTTTGTGTCACAAATAATAAAAAGCTGTAAATTTCCAGCTTGGTTAGGTCATCAGCACATTCTTTATGTACCAAAAAGAATGTAAAATCAAGATATGAGGTTTATTATTATTATTATTATTATTATTATTGACTGTCTTTGTATGTCTCTCCCAGAATAAGATACTGAACCGGACTGGCTGCTGTCCTGTTTGCACTGAAAGTGAGTAAGTTTATCTTCACCTTATTCGTCTTTGCTTTTGTCATTAGAATTAAATTCAACTCAAAATTTATTTATAAAATCCTTCAATTTAAAATTAGCTTGTAAGGACTAACAGAAGTTTGTTATCTCACACAGCCTTAACAATATTAACCACACTATGATTGTTTCAGTGACACAACATGAGAATAATAATAAAAATACAGTGGAGAACAAGACTGCATACACAACAAAAACAGTTTATTTTCTATAATTAAATATCTTATATTTACAAACACAAATTTGATATGCATTGAAAATGTAGAATCCACACATGCAGCAAAAATCCCTGCTTGGTCCAAAAAGCTATGAGTGAGCAGTAATTCATATTGAATTACACCATACTTTTGTTTTGCCATAATAACTACGACTTCTAAAGGTTAACAGAGGAAGTTGACATTTCACCACCATGATGGCTTCCTCTCTCCTCTACCCCCCACAGAACCAGGCGTGTGCACAGTTTTCGGCGACCCCCACTACAACACATTCGACGGGCGCACGTTCAACTTCCAGGGCACGTGTGAATATGTGCTGACAAAGGACTGCTCAGCAGCAGACAGCTTCACAGTGCTGGTGAAAAATGATGCAAGACGCACCCGCTCCTTTTCCTGGACCAAGTCGGTGGAGCTACGCATGGCGGGACTCACAATCAGCCTGCACCAACACCTGACTGTCCGGCAAAACGGCACACGCATCGCCCTGCCTTTCCACAGCACTGGTGTCCACATTGACCTGGACGGATACCTGCTCAAACTCACCACCATCGCAGGTGAGGGCCAGCAGGGGGCACTGCTGCATCCTTGGGTGTTGAGTTGGGGTGGACCATACAACTGCTTTTCTTTTTGATCTGACATGAAGTCATACAAAGACTAGTATCATGATACTAATATTTCAATAACGGTGATTTGCATTCTTTCCATCATTAGATCAGAGCACTCACTCGTGTGATTGTGTGAGCCTTTGTGTGTGTGAGAAGTGGAGGGAGAGGGTGGATGGAAAAAATGTTCCTGTGTTTCATGTTATTTTCAGTTTCATAAAACAATAAATATTCAAATGATTGCTTAAATCAATAGCTATTAAAATGACTAGTTGAAGAAAACACTTAGAATCAATATTTTTACACAAGGATCAATTCTAAAAAGGACACATCAGAAATGTAAATATTGATACTGTAGTATTGATCTGCTCACCCCTGTTGTGCAGTGAGTGCTTTTCAGTCTCAGTCCAAATCCCACATTCAGCTCACAGGTTCATTCATTTGGAGCTCAGTGCAGGTGTGCTGGAGCAGGAGCTTCAGTGCAGAGAAGAAAACCTGTTTTAATTTGTCCCAGTTATGTGTTACCGTACATTGGTAACTTACAGGTTTGCAATCACTGCTTTCAACAGTATTAACTAATTTTGTTACAGATGTATGTTCAAAAATGTATTCTAATATGATGCTAGGACAACTTCAGAGGTCATTCATGAACAGAGGAGATGATTCCATAATAACGAAGAAAGCTGTATAAACTTATAATTAACAATTGTATTTAACAAAGAGATTATTACATTTTGATGCAGAGAACTTAACAAGAAATGACTATAAACAGATAATTACAGTATATTTTTGTCAATCAATAACTTCATGTTGGTCCTAAAATACTTTAAATATTGAACAAAATGTCTACAAATATACCGGTTGGTGTCTAGTTTATAATATTTCAATCTGTGTGCATTATTATGAAATAAAGTTATTACTTTACTAATTGATAGTATCATTGCTCTTCTGTCCTAAAACTTAACCTCCTGCTCAGTGGAAAAATTTGTGACAAGTTTAGCATGTGAGAATCTATAGTGACTCACCGTCTCCTCTGAATGTGTCTTTAAGGCCTGGAGATCACATGGGATGGCGACAGTCTGGTGGAGGTGGTGGCTGCACCCCACCTGAAGGGACGGCTCTGCGGCCTCTGCGGGAACTACAACGGACACAAGCGGGACGACACAATGGGGGGCGATGGCCAGTTCAAGTTTGACGTGGACGAGTTTGCTGAGTCCTGGCGAGTGGACGGTAACGAGGTGTGTGAACAGCCTCCCCGCAGGCCTGTGTCCTACCTTTGTCCTGCATCCGTCAAAGTGAAGCTCCGGGCCCACCGTGCTTGCCACAAACTAAAATCCTGGGAGTTCCAAAAGTGCCACGCTGTGGTGGACTTCACCTCCTTCTATAGGTAAGTGTTCCTTGATAGATTCATTTTTATTAGGGTTTGAAAAAATATTAAAAACGTCTTTGCAAAAGTAAAGAAAGTGATTTAGTCACCTAGTGTTTATCTCTGCAGTGTGTCATACCTTATTTTGCCTGCTATCACACATAGAAAATGATTATGGAAGACTGTACCGTTTCTTCTCTTTTATGTATCCAGTTGGTTAAAAAAATATGTCCATAAACTAGATATAAATTTTGAAAATTAAAAAATGTTGTGTGTTGAAATGAGCTAGTGCGAGGTTCTGGAGCAGAGTTAGGTTTTGAGCATTAGAATATCAAGTGCCATTAAACATACTCCAAAACCTCCTCATGCAGAGTGTCTGATCCTCACAGCACTCACTGGCTGATTACAGAGCCATGTCCTCAGCTCAAATACATGCTACTCTTTTTTGCTCAGGCCTCAAGGAAAACATCATAAAATGTGAGCTTAATGGAAATAAATGTGCTGTCCCACCTAATTGCAGCTTAAGTAATATGTTTGCATGTTTGCCGTCTGCATTGTAAAGGCTTGTCGTAAAGTGCAGTACAGTGTTTCATGTTTATGTGGAAAAACACTTAAGATCTGTGTTGAGTGATTACTGATTGACTAAATGTTCAGCACACTTGCACTCAACAAGCACCAGATGGCGCTCTTATTCCATGATTGTATAACAAGCACAACAGCAAATACACCGTCACCTCCTGATTCAGTGTTTCTTCTGGAATCAAGGGTATTTATAGGCAGTTTGTCCTTCTTTGCTGCAGTAACAGCCTCTACTCTTCTGGGAAGGCTTTACACTATTTGTTGGAACATTGCTGTGAGGATTTGATTGAGCATTAGTGAAGTCACGAACTGATGTTGGATGATCAGTTCTGCATAACAACTCATCCCAAAGGTGTTGGATGGATGGAGCTCAACTACTCCAGAGAAAGCAGTTCCACTGCTCCACAGCCCAGTGTTGGGGGACTTTATACCCCTCTGGCTGACACTTGGCACTAGACATGGTGACATTAGGCCTAGTGCAGCTGCTCTAGAGTGTCCCATTCTATTGACAATGGACATTATATGGGCTGTGTGTACACAACTAAATGCCTGTGTCAGCAGTGGGTGCAGCTTAAAGTAGCCGAGCCTGGACATGTTTGGACATACGTGGACTATGTGTGGACTATGATGATTATAAATGATCATAAATGTCCATTTGCTTGTTTTTACAAAAGAGCTCAGATTTGGTGTAAACATATATGAATGAGTGAAACTTATTATTTTATCTCATTTGATTTCTACCAGTAACTGAGTTACCCTTCTATGCAGGTCATGTGTAACGGACATGTGCGAGTGCCCAGTGCATAAGAACTGTTACTGTGAGTCCTTCATCGCCTACAGTCGTGCCTGTGAGAGGGAGGGAGCACCTGTGCTTTGGAAACCAGAACAGTCCTGCATGAGTAAGCGGCAACAGACACAGTCAGAATTTTCTCCTTGTACTCATTCCCTGTCCTGCAGTTTTCTCCACCTATGTGTCATTCCTGACACTGTGATTACATTATTAAAAACAAATTCCAGATTATTGTTTTAAAGGACATGGCAACACTGACTGAGCACACATCAACATCTTAATGTTCGTAGTACTGGCTTTATGATGTCCTAGAATTAGAACAAACAGGCCAAACGTACCAAAGGGAAAGGCAAGGAGAACTTTCTAGTCTTATGAATGGGGGGAGAACACTCTAGAACAATGTGAATGGGGATGAACATTCTAGAACAGGGCTGCCAATAGTGGGATCAGTGGGCCCGAGTTGGCCCCTGAGGACCTTTTATTTGACCAACTGCAATGTCTTTTTGGCCCTCAGACCACCAAATACATGGCACCTTGGCCCCCAAAACAAAGTTCATGTTCTAGAACCGTGTGAATGGGGTAGAACGTTTTGATTCCCATTAATCACACACAGATAGAGCACACAGCATTTGGGTTTGTTGGTGGTTGTTTAGAACATCAGCGTGCTTACTCAAAAAGACTGAGTCACATAAAATATTACATAACGTCATCAGTAGTGCAACTCAGTGTATTCAATACATTGTACTAAAGAGCATCACACATGATTTATTTTGCAGTTCAGGCTGGTTTGGGCTTTGTTTTGTTTTTATATATATAATGATATCAAAAAGTAACTTGTGGTATGTGGAAGTAATTTTCAGAGGAGTGATTTAAAGTGATGAGCATAAAAGTATTGGGACAATGCGAAATTTATTTTTGTTGCATATTTATACTTTTTATTTTCAGATATTACATGAATATAAGGTGAAAATAGAGACTGTTAAGTTTAATTTCTGGATAATATGTGTCATAAGTTAAACCATGATGATTAATCCTCCAGCCTTTCCTCTTATATATGTATATATTTAAACACAGCTTTAATTAATACGCATTGAAAAAAAATAGCTTCTCATTGGTTTAGTTGTCCCATTTCCCAATACATGTGCTTATCGCTGTATTTTTATAACGGTGCATTATGAGTTTCATGCTGTATCCTTGACTGATTTTTTTTCCGTCTTTCTGTCCAGCCACCCAATGTAAACACGGTGCCGTCTATGACACATGTGGTCCCGGTTGCACCAAAACCTGTGACAACTGGAATGAGATCGGCCCATGCCTCAAACCCTGTGTGGCCGGCTGCCACTGTCCAGCTAATCTGGTGCTACTCCAGGGTCACTGCATCAAGCCCACGTCCTGCCCAGGCCGGTGACCCCTGTGACCCTGCTGAGGGCACTGTAGACCAAAGACTAATGCTAGAATGGCTGAACGCTCATGCCTGAGACTTGGGGGGGGGGTTAAGGTGTGTGGGGTGAACCTCCCACGCATGACCTGATGTTACAGCTCAGTCAGGGCGGTGGGACAGAAAACCATGGCCTTTGATCTCCACCTCACTCTACACAGACTGAGTCGCAGGGCCCTCAGTGCATTCCTTGGAATACTTGTCAGAGGGAACTACTCATGTCACCTCTAGTCTGCATGTGAGAGACATCGTGAGCAGCTGTCGCCGTGGATCGAGGAGTGGTAGTGTTAACTGGCCTCTGAACAACACAGAACCTCAACATACAGGGAAGATGTCAGCTGTACACTGAACTCTGACAATAAGGGGTGCTTATAAACCAACAGGGATCATTAAACCAACTTGGAATGAAAAGAGGAATCATAAAAATGCTAATTTTATTCACAATGACTTAAAGGGAACTATTTATGTATTTGTTGTGTATTTAGATTTTGTTATATTGTTTATGCTGTGCACAAAGATGTGACTTGGCTGTTAAGAGCTCATAGGGAAATGTACTGTATTCTTGAAAGCTCAGTGTATTTTATTTTTTTGTGTGTGCTTTTGCACATGCTAGTTTGAGTGTGTGGCTGTGTGTATGTAAGTATGAGTGTGTGTGTGTGTGTGTGTGTGTGTGTGTGTGGTGAACTTCCTGTAAATTTTACTTGGCTGGAAAGCAGTTATTTATGAACAGCATTAAGGACCTGTATCCTCTCAAAGAACCAAGCTGCAAGAGTGGCATGAGCCAAGGACTTCATTCAGGTTCTGTCACAGCGCAGAGGGGCAAAAGGTTAGCATTTGCCCCTATGGTGGCAAAAAGAACAAATTGCCAAATCCTCATATTGGCTTCCCTTATTTAAAATGTGGCACAATTAACTTGGTACCTGATTGTTGATGAGATGAAATGGCATAAACAATAAAACAAGTATTCACTTTAAATGAATGACCACTTTAAATGACTGATCTGAAACACTCTTCTCTGTTTTAATGACATCTTCTGGAAACTGGGGCTACCCCTTAAACTCACTGTTAAAAGAGGAAAAAGTAAAATAGCCTATAGGCATAAAATGACAATGACAGAAACTGCCATCTACCACAGGAATACATTTTGAAAGAGATAAGATTTGAAGTGTGCAGTAGGCAGATATAACCCATTCCTAAGAAAATGAATGAAATTAAAGTCAAGCTAAAGTCTAAAGGCTACACTTTTAAAGTGCACAATTATAGGTACATATCGTCGATGGCAGAACAAAACCATGTCCTTTAAAATCTCCATTGTTGTTTTTATTTATACACATATGAAAATGCTGCTATTTACACTGTGTCAAAATTTAAGATTTTTGCTGCAACGTTATCTTTTTTTGGACGCAAGGTTTAGTTCCAATCCGCGATGTTTCCTATATATAAAAACACGGCCTCCAAACCAAAAAGTGTTTGTCATTATTGCCTGCATTTATTGACAATTTCTCCCTTTCACTTCATTTCATGGACAAAAAAAAGGCAACATGCAAGTTAGCAGCACATATACAACAGGTCTTAAAACTTAAAAGACGACTTTATCGACACAAGTGCAAGTCAAACAGATACAGGCAAATCCACCTCACAGGAAATCGTTTGAAGGAGCAGCTCACCGAAAAGTGCTGACATTTCTAATAATAATCATTTCTAATAAAAGCTTAATTCGATACGTTAGCATTTTTAGATGAACTGCTCCTTTCAGAGGTAGTATAAATACCAACACCGAAAAACAGGCCCAAGTTTGCACCTCGACATGAAGCTTTCTTTGCAATAAAAGTAAAAATTCACAATACATTCGTTACTGTTTTTGTTCAAAACATTGTATTGCTATGGGATAATATCAATGACTCTCATGTATCAACCATACTGACAGATGTAAACCTAGACATCATGGTAGGCCCTGGAATCAATCCATGTGCTTGTCACAGAATGACTCCTATAACAGCATTTAAAAGAAAAAGCCAGCACTGTTGAATTGCTAGCTGGGCCTGGGTCAATGACATCACCATGACATTTATTACTGCAAACTTTATACACTGAATATAAACCTTACAATATCAAAAATAATGAACATTAACATTTAGAAGAATGTGCAAATTGAATGAATTCACTTGTATGTGTGTATATATATATATATATATATATATGTGTTTGGTTTTCATTTATCTAAGGTAAAAGTAACTGAATACGACCCAAAGCAAACAAAGGCATAGAAATGATGGAGGTTTCAAACAGTTCATTTAGAAGAGAAAACGTGATATTAAAAGATCATGGTGAGTGGGGTGTGTGGCTTGTGTGCGTGTGTGAGAGGTGGCAGACGGGCCACAGAGCTGGTGTTAGCCCAGTGACTGGTGATCCAGTAACAAGTGGCTGTGAGTCTTTCCACTGGGGGCTGCACGAGACCCGGTGTTAGACAGTCATAAAATCTTCTGCAAAATGGAATTGGGCACTTCAAGGGTTTCATCCTTCACCAGAACGATATCGTAAGAGTCCATGTATTTCTCCAAGCGCTCCTCCACCTGTGTGGGTGAGACATATTTTAGGAAAAGTACATCAGAACTAGGCATGGAATGTTATCCTGTTGCAACACGAGCAACCAAAAGTACCTTTGTTTTACATTATACTGCAGCATTATTATTAAAATATACTCAAAATGTGTACAAAGCACTAATACACATATCATTTCATCACATGCAATACTTTGACTTTTAACCATATTGTATTATTTCTTTGGGACACCAACTAGTGTTTACATTAGAACTGGGCTGTCCTGGTGCATGCTTTGCAGGGAGGCTGTGGCACCAGGCTGTGAAATGGTTTATCATTAAATTTTGTAAAAAAGTACTGTGCAAAAGTCAGACCACCCTTTATTCCATTTCCAGGAAAAACTGCCATTAAGTACAAGTTATTTGCTTTTCAGGAGAAATTTCTAAGGAGATCAGATATAAGACAATCCCCTTGCATAAGGAATGTCAAAGGAAAACAAGTGAAAAAAAAAAGTGAAAACAGGAATTTCCAAAACTGAATGTCAAAAAATGATTAAAGGATAAAGAGAAATTGGTACTCCTAACAACTGTGGAAGACCTGGTAGACACCAAAACTGTCCCCCTCAGATAAACAGCATTTAAAGCTTTCATCTTTGAGAGAGAGGAGAAAATCAAGCTGCTTCACATCTGAAAACATCCACAGGCATTTCTGTCCATCCTTCCACTGTGAGAAGACAAACGCGCTATGGATCTGAAATGATGTGTAGCTGTCAAGAAGCCTCACTGAGAAAAGGAGACGGACACATCAAACAAAGAAGCTGAGTCCAGACCTCAACATCACTGAATGAGTTTGGTATTACTTGGTTTGTGAGAAGCAGAAAATGCTAAACCAACTTCTAAGACTGAACTTCAGAGGTGTGGAAAAATTTCTGCAGATTTCTTCCCTGAAAAGGATGGAAGCTGTAATAAAAATGAAAGTGGACTAAATAATAAAACATGTTATATTTAGTTGTTGAAGTATTTTTCTCTTAAATATGTTTTCTGCTTTTTACCATGACACTAAAAAAATTAATTACTCGTATTTAATGTCTGTTTTGACTAGAAATTATTTGAATAAATAAATGATGGTGGTGCCTGACTTTTGCACAGTATTGCACACTTTTAAAACAGCATCACGTCCCTGATCAGAACTATCATTTGTAAATGGAATAAGCAGTTACCTTATCGTTGAGAAAGCCAATTTTAAGCATGTTTTCCACGTTTGGAACACCGTCGGCCATAGTGAGGTCTCCCAGCGAGTCTCCAAGGAGGATGATGTTGCCGTTATCCTTCAGCTGCTTGAAGTATTCCGTGTTCCTCAGTGCACCATCGTGCTTGTTGTACACATGGATCAGCTCCCCTTTGAAACCTTTCAGAATGCCCTGCAGAACAAGAGTGACCCCTTACAGCGAGCACACAAACTGCAGCCTACATCTCAGCTGCTCTGGCTACAGGTGAATTACACTGTCAGCTACTATGGGCTAAATACAGTTAGCTGAATTAAACATATTAGACACAAAATATAAATATATATATATATATATATATATATATACATATATATAAAATGTGCAGTATCTTTCGCACAGGCAACATTTTCTGTTTTATTTTTTCTCAATATGTGAAACACAGCAAATAAACAGTAACTGTACATTAAAATGTGCAGATGTGTGTTGAGGGGGGTGTTAACTTATTTTCACTCAGAAAATCAACAAACAGTCATTTGACCAGGGCGCCTAAACTTTTGCATATGACTGCATATGATTTGTGGCATGTTATGTGATGTGTTTGGACCTTTTTGGAACTGTACAGTCTGACACGACTGCTTGTTTAAACTCTTTAACTTTAAGGGTCAATGCGGGGATTGAGTTTAGGACTACACAGCATTTTGAGTGTACTGATACTGAAAGTGCAGTCCAGAATTAGGCTTAATCTCTTAATTCTAAGGGTTCCCTGGATAAGGATTAAGCCTAAATTTTGGTCTAAACTACAGTCCCAATGCTGAATCAACATTGGAAATTTCTTTTAGTCTAGTTTAAGGGTTAATAAGAGTCAGTTTCCTGGAAAAAAGACCAAGCCTAGTCTGGGATTAGACTGTAACGATGATGATTTATCACTGAAAAGACTTTATAGTCTGGGAGCTTAATCTGGGTTTGGGAAGATGGTCCTGAGGGCGTGTATGTTTGCCCACACTTCAATTCCTCACACACATACCTTACACATTAATTTCACTGTAGTTACTGAATAATAAGTCTATTGGGTTATAATAACTGAATATTCAGTCTTTGATTGTAGGGCTTAACAAAGGAAATCTTTACAAAGACAGACTAAAGTCAACCAAGAGAGTCTCCGAGAGTCTTTGATACTCACATTCTCGTCAAAGTCCATGAAATTGGAGACGACTTTGATGTTGGGGTGGTAAACTCCAGCCTGTCTGATGATCTCCTCCAGCACGTCCCCCAGGCCCGCCGAGAAGATGAACACAGGAACGTTGTGCTGATGCAGCCGGTCGAAGAACTGCTCGTACCCCTCCCTGCCACAGATATTCACACATATATGAACATCGATAAACTAGTAACTTTACAGAAGACCTGTACATGAACTGACCTTGATTATGAGAAGACCAATCCTGCAATCCTGACTAAAGACAGACGCATATGAAGTTGTAATTTAAGTTTATAGTGGTTGTTGTCAGTAAATAACTATAATACTGAACATGTTTGCACTAAAAAGGTCATAACAGTAAACAACCTAAGGCATCATGAAGTCAGGCAAACGTTGGCATGGTTTCAGTGTAAAAATGCATTATTATCAAATGTCATTAACGTTGATGTTGGAGGTTTTTCCATCGCAGCCAATGGAATATCCAGTATTCCGTAGTTTATCTACCGCCAACATGTAGACGCAATATTAGAACATGTATGGTTGCAACAGATCTCAACAAATCTCATTATTCAGCTATTTATTCTAATATTTATTATTCAGTAACTACTATGAATTGTTCAGTTACTACTACAAAACGAATATGTAACTAGGACCGCTTTTTAAATAAAGGGATTAAGGGATTCAGAGCTGAACTGACTACATAAATTCAAACATGGGAAATTCAACTATGAGAAGTGACAGGATAATGAAAATCGTACCGCAGGCTAACGTCTGATTCTCTCACAACCTCAGGTAGTTTATCTCTCTGTAACCGCTGCTCCACCAGTAATGAGTGAGACTTAAAATACCTGAGAGAAACACCAGAAAGGAAGCAGTTTAAGGGTTAAACAATGCACATATCAGGGCTGCACAATATACTGTTTGATAACGGTTATTACAATACTGCTCTTGTCTAATACTGATCTAGGGTTGGCACAAATAATGTGAAAACTGCAGCATTTGTCCACTACACTGGTTGTATTTGAGAAGTCTGTCTTTTTTTAAGTCACAAAAACTCTCAAACTGGCCCTCAGGGCCCCCATACGATCCACATTTTATACAATACCCACTGTGTTGGAACTGGGATCAAGCAAAAAAGTTGGCCTGCCAGGTGGGCTGGTTTGAGACCCCCTGGCCTCAATTACAATACACTGCATCAGCAAAAGCCTTTAGATGGATCAGTTATTGTAAATATATGGAAATAGTGCCACCTCCTGGATGTATTTTTGAACTGCAGTAACAAACATGCTTAAAATTGTGGTTGATTATGAAACATAAGTATTGCTTTTAAGCATGGATTTAAAATGAATATCTGAGTACTCATTCAGAGTCACTCAAAGCCTGTTTGGCCAGCCTCACTGATATTGCTGAAGGCTGCAATATGCACAATAAGGTCTGCTGTGTCTACAGTTCTAGGTGAGTGTTTCTGTGGCTGTTTTGATTGATCAAAATACTCAATTACTTTAAGAAAAGTAAATTAATTTAGCAAAATAATGCAGGCCGGTGTTTAACCATGTCACATTAGTGATTCATCAGTGTCTTTTTAAAATATTGCAGGATTTGCTGCAATAGATCACAATATAATTGTAAATCTGGTATTCTGTCCATCTCATGCAGCCCTACTGTGTATATGGGAGTCAAATCAAATGTGTACACTCACCACTCCACCATGAATGGGTACTTCTCTTCCATGGTCAGATGCGGGTCTATCTCAATAGGATAGTAGGTCTCCTTCAGATGAAGCAGCTGGTGAAATACAATTTCAATATAAATATATTTTATACTTTGACATTTAAACAACTCATAGCTCGGCAAGAACTTGAAGATGTTTCATGGTGAAGGACAGATTACCTTTTTTCTACATTCTTCGGTGACCAGCTTACAGTTATCAATGATATCTGTAGAAGACAAAAGAGGCTGATTAGTGCTACTCAGCCATCACTGTGTTTTCAATGCATTCATTGATCATTTAAACTCAAGATTCCAATGAAACAGTGGGGCTTACTGTGGCACGTGGGGCAGCGTTTTCCATTGATTGCAAATTTGCTTAACGTCATGTCAAAATCTGTGATGATCTGAAAGAAAGTGGTGATGAGTATAAGCACATCTTTTTGTGAAAAAAATAAAAGCCATAAGCAACAACAGAGGCTTCTATTACCGGGTAATACTGAAGTTAGCATTAACAAATGTAATGAATCCACACTTCCTGAGTGCTGCTACACTGTGCTGAAAGCATGTGAACCCCGATATAACTTGTTTTAACTGGACTTGGACTGATTTTTCAAAATTTCTGCATTATGTAATCATTAAGATCAGTGTGGTTTGATGTCAAACGCTTCGTTCTAGAGAAACTTACTGTCAGAACTGTTTACAGTGGTGATTGGAACTAGACGTCCAGTGTGGTTAACGGTTTTAAAAGCTTTCTCACAAAAAGTTATTACATGATATGGTTGCAAATACGCAGCCTGAGGCCAGGGACAATAGTTTGGTAATAAGCATTTGCCCTAAATATGTATTTTTAAAATCCATTCATAGTAGAGAGGTACATGCAAAATAATCTGCAAAGAAAACTTGGTTCCCATCACCACCACTGTGAAAAATTTTTACTTGTTGAGTTGCTCTACAATGAACCGTTTTTTGTAGAAATTTTTTAAAAATCAGTGGAATTCCCCTTTAGCCAGACAGTCACCACATTTCCATAAGGATGCATGGATTTAGGAATTGTGACCCGATGCTTATATTCATTATTTTTCATGTACATATCTGTCAATGCCCATACCTAAACGTTTATAAAATACTGGTTTAGCATTACAGATATCTCATAAATATAACATTTATTTGTAGAGGGTTCAAAGTGGAGTGAAATGAATAAAATGTACAGCAGCCCAGCATCTCTTAAACATTCTGCTGTTCCAGAGGACAAATATGTCATCAAATATGTCGTCAATTCTGATATTTTTTTAATGCAATAATCTGCCATTCCAACATTCCTATTTTTCAGCATTTTATATGCATTTTAATCTGTTCTTTTAACACAATCTGATGCACAGAGAAAATCTGATCTATCAATCCCACCAACATTAAAAATCAGTATTGTTGGGCTGATAGTATAGATAGTATATCGTCCACCACTATAATCCAAATCGGACTGTCTGACTGTGGGACGTCCAGTGTGTAGAGTTTGATCTCGCTCTGTACCTGTAGTTTGGAGGCCCCTCCATGGATCATGCCGCAGATGACCCGCTCCACCCTCTCAGGGTCTCTGATATGGACCGTGCTCTTCTCAAACTCGGGCATCTGTGGACATCACACACATTAGACACGGATCAGAAAAGGATGAACTACACACATTCATATATTATGTACAGTACCAGGCCAAAAGTTTGGAATCACTTGTGGTTACTGTAATAATAATAACTCACACAGTGTGAACTGAAGTAGTTCAAACGTTTTTAAAAGTTTTATTTAAACTTTCAAGTTCAAGCCAGGGAACAGTAAATAATCTTATTCTAATCCATTTATAGCAATATTTAGTCTAGTTATCTGTCTCAAAATTTCAGTGCCACCCTTTAAATACAAGGCATTCAAAATGTTAAAGAGGAGTTCCACTGATTTTTCTAAAATTCTGTATAATTCAATTGCTTAGATGTTAAACAGAGTCATTCAGAGAGAAACATAGACTTTAATTTCTTTACAGTGGAGGTGATAGGAACCAGGGGTCACAACATCTACAACACAAATATAGTTATAGAGTTTTTGTATGTAATGATGATGGTAAAATAATGATAAATCTGAAAAAAATATGTTCCAGGCCTCAGGCAGCACATTAATAACCATTTTTCATATTAACCTTCTGTGAGGGAGCTTTTAGAGGCTGACGTCTGGTTCCTATCACCACCACTGTGAACAACTCTGACTCAGCAAGTTTCTCTAGAACAGAGCATTTCACACCAAACCACTCTGAATGACTCTGTTCACATGTTAACCATTTAATTATGCATAAACTTTTAAAAACAGTGAAATCTCCCTTTATTTTATGTCAAAATCAATACTATACAGCTTTCTCACTTATGGAATCATCTACAGCTCTTCATATCATTTTGGGCTATTTGAAACCTGTGAAGTTGTACAGTATTAACATCATATTAGAACCACTTTATGCAAGAAAACGGTTTGTATATTAATGAAAGCAGTGATTCCGTACTTCTGAGTGGTAATGTAAACTCCACTACAAAATAATGACAGTTCGTGCCCTTATATGGACAGCAGCCCTGCCTTTTCCATGATGCAATGCGGACATCACCGTGGCACTGGCCCAAGGCTGATACATGACACTCACTGTAGAGAAGGGGGGGCTTGAAAGGGGCTGTTATTGGACTAATCAGAAACATGACCTTAACTATCTCTAAACACACGAGCACACACACGCAGGCATCAAGCAGCAGCTGCTGTTTGGCCTGTTATATAAGACAGGAGAACCCAAACAAACCCTGGGCTCGCAGGCAGCTTGGTCACTCCCAAACGCCGACCACAGGGTCAGAGTGGACAGGAGCACCATGCAAAGCCCATGGTGGAGGGACATGACTGCAGTACAGCACAGGTAACCACGTCTGAAAGCTTTTTCAGTCCAGGACAGCTTACATATGAATAGTATGTTACAATGTTGTTTGGACAATGTTTAGGTCATTTCCTATGCCAGCTATTAAAATGAATGACAGAAAACAAGTGTTGGTGTACATTTATTAGACTGTAGGGAGTTTATAACAATGTTTAATGAGCACTTCTACAAAAAAATGTCTATAATATAATTATAAACTGTTATTATGGAATAAAATAAAATACATAATAAAAATGAAAATGTTCACATGGCTAAAAATCTATTCTGGTCCATAAGCATTGTGTCTGTTTCAGTTTCTTAAGCTAAAGTTGGATTTTTATTCACCAGCTCATTTGAATTTCCCATTCTACCTTAAATGGTGCAGCAGTTACATTCTGGCACCTGCAGCCATTTAAGGTGGAATGAAAATTTAGAATAAGAGGCCAACTTCAGCCTCATCTTAATAGTTTCTTCCAGTGGTTTTATTTCATTTGTAATTTACTGTGAGGGTCTTTATAAACTGTGGGCGTGGCCTACAGATTGCAGACTAACCAAAAAGTATGATCAATAATATGCATTCGGAATGTAACTTTGACAGCCAATCAGCTGTCTAGATTTTGGAACAAGCATGCTTATTGGCTCCCTGAATCTGATAAGACTATTTAGATAATGAAATTTGGTATTAAATGCCATTGAATTTTTCGATACTCGGTAATACTGAAGTAATACCCGGCCTTAGCTAGGGGTGCTGTGGAAAAGCTCAAAGCTACAGGCTTATAAATATCCTGATGCCCCTGACCCAAACATTCCCACTGGTAATCAGAGCAGGTATATTTTGAGACCGCTGATGAAAGAGTGACCTTAACCTGTGTTTACGTGCATAACCAACAAGTAAACAAATATACTAGTCACAAACGTCTCTATAGCTAAGTTACACTAAATAAATGAGGTATAGATGCCATTTTCTATCAAAGATTGGTTTATTTGACAGGTAAAGTGAATGATCTTAAATAAACATCACACAAACCACTGGTTGAGCCATGCTAAGCAAAAGTTTAGGCACCCCTGGTCAAATTACGTTCTGTTGATTTTAAAGATAAGTAAACATCCTCTAAAGAAAACACACATTGTAATGCACAGCTAATGTTTACGTGTTGAATTTAACATATTGGGGAAAATAAATAAAACTTAAAATGTGTCCCGTGCAAAAGTTGGCAAATTTCGTATTTTATTTTTTCCAACATGTTAAACTCAACACCAATTTTTGTTTGTTTGTTGACTGTAGAGGATCGTGTTCACTTTTTTTTTTCTTCAAAATCAAACAACATGTAATTTGACCGGGGGCACTTAAACTTTTGCATGCAACTTTATATTTTTAAAGTTGTAATAGAGTTAAAAGACAGGTAAGGATGTACTAAAAGCTCTAGAAACTCTAGTAGATTCATCAGGTTGATGCGAATACTGATTCAAATAGTAAAAAGCAGAACAATCAGTGACAATGATGGAGAATTTCTTTAAACAAAATGTGCAGGACATTTCAGAAAGCTGTTTCGTTTCGCTTACAGGACTCAGACAGGACGGCCTCTCTGCGTCAAACCCTCAGTTTGTTTGTAATGGGATACCCTTGCTTTACGTAACGTAATTAAGACTGCCAATCTTACATAAGTGGATTTCAACTGCACGAAAAGGCTCATGTGTGCGGTCTTCACATACGATCACAAAGAAATGCTTTATATTTAATATGCTTATGTTATCAATGCACTCATAGGCTTAACAAGCACTAAGAAATGACCGTACTATTTAAATATGCTTAAACAAACTCAATAATGTTTAAATATACCAACAAGCCCTTCTCCCTTACACACAGAATCCTATTTGCAGAGCGTCTACACTATTTGCTTATGTTCTCCCTGTCACCATCAGGCTGATTTACAGCTTACCTCTCTGGTCGGGTCCTCACAGCTTCGTGAAAAACAAGGGAAGAAAATTCCGCCTGTCAAACGCAGGCTTATATAGACCGGCCACAGAGAGGGTGTAGCCCCAAAATAGATTACAGATAATCCCCACCCCTTCTGAGAGGCCCGTGATGCAAGCACACACACATAGACACAATTAACAGCACAAAGCAATACACGGCATATTACCGTGAAAAGCAGGCATAAAGAGAGCAAAATGATAGCAGGCCAGTGGGGTAAAGGTCACTCAAGGCCTACTGAAACACAAAAACAAGGCTATAGCTGGCTTCTTGGAAAAAGCTATATTATTACTGGCCTAGGAAAACCTAGTCCAATAGATAATGAAGCAGGCAGAGCAGCTTATTATATTCAGCTTAATGAAACATGTAGAGCTGTCTATTATTATCAGGTACTAGAATACATAGAGTAGTCGATTGTTTTGGTGTATTGGCATGTATAGAGCAGTATATTATTTTGGTATTATTTTGGTGTAGTGAAACATACAGAACACTTTGGTGTTCTGAAATATTCAGTGCAGTCTATCATTCTGGTGTACAGTTTTGGAGCAGGCTTTTACTTTGGAATTATTATGGTGTACTAAAACATACAGAGTAGTCTATTATTATGGTGTACCGAAACATATAGAGCAGTGTATTATTATGGTGTACTGAAAACATGTAGAGCAGTCTATTATTTTGGTGTAGTGAAACATACAGATCAGTGTATTATTATGAGGTACTAGAATACATAGTCAATTGTTCTGGGGTACTGGAACATATAGGTAGTATGTTTTTTTTTGGTGTAGTGAAACATACAGAACACTATCATTTTGGTGTACAGTTTTGGAGCATCCTTTTATTTTGGTATTATTTTGGTGTACTGAAACATATAGAGCAGTCTATGATTTTGGTGTACTGACTCATATAGAGCAGTCTATGATTTTGGTGTACTGAAACATACAGAGCAGTCTATGATTTTGGTGTACTGAAACATACAGAGCAGTCTATGATTTTGGTGTACTGAAACATACAGAGCAGTCTATGATTTTGGTGTACTGAAACATACAGAGCAGTCTATGATTTTGGTGTACTGAAACATACAGAGCAGTCTATGATTTTGGTGTACTGAAACATACAGAGCAGTCTATGATTTGTGTACTGAAACATATAGAGCAGTCTATGATTTTAGTGTACTGAAACATACAGAGCAGTCTATGATTTTAGTGTACTGAAACATATAGAGCAGTCTATGATTTTAGTGTACTGAAACATACAGAGCAGTCTATGATTTTGGTGTACTGAAACATATAGAGCAGTCTATGATTTTAGTGTACTGAAACATACAGAGCAGTCTATGATTTTGGTGTACTGAAACATATAGAGCAGTCTATGATTTTAGTGTACTGAAACATACAGAGCAGTCTATGATTTTAGTGTACTGAAACATACAGAGCAGTCTATGATTTTGGTGTCCTGAAACATATAGAGCAGTCTATGATTTAGTGTACTGAAACATACAGAGCAGCCTATGATTTTAGTGTACTGAAACATACAGAGTAATTTATTATCTTGGTGTACTAAAACAGAGCAGGTTATTACATTTGGCTTAATGCAAATATTTTTAAGTTCTGAAACATGTAGAGCAGTCTATTATTTTGGCCTACTCAAACAGAGCAGTCTATTATTTTTGTGTACTGAAACATACAGAGCAGTATATAAATTAGGCCTATTTAAATACATCAAATA